CCTTTTATAGTTCCTATTTGGTTACTTTTATAGTTCTTACTTAGTTCCTATTTGGTTATTGTATAGTTCTTACTTAGTTCCTATTTGGTAACTGTATAGTTCCTATTTAGTTCCTAGTTAGTTCTCTATTTGGTTATTGTATAATTCCTATTTAATTCCTATTTAGTTCCTATATAGTTACTTTATAGTTCCTATTTAGTTCCTATTTGGTTACTTTATAGCTCCGAAAAATCTGTTAGCTCATGTGGTATTTTGAGCCATTTTCCAGCTCTATAGCACTTGATTGAAAGCTTTTATGCAGAAAAGAAATTTTAAAAGGGCTGCTACGCAGGAGTACGCGATGACACTCTTTACATTCACTCATTTACCCGGTCTTCTATTCGAAGAAATTCGGTATATTTTTGATTAGATTTAAGAAAATTACACTTATTTTAATATCCGCTCATTTATCAGTGAAGATTTTAAAGAGTTTAAACTCTTAAAACTTTTCAATAATCTAAAGCTGAAACTGTTGATGATAAACGAATCGCACGAAATTAGACTTATAACAAATAACAGACTTATAACAGACTTCTAACAAATAACAGACTTATAACAGACTTCTAACCAATTCAGAAGCCCTTTCAAATCGATATTCGTATCAATATTAGATACCATAAAGCATAGATTTTAAAAAAAGATTTCTCAAAAATCATTTCCTCATTTGAAGATACCTTTTGATGGTGTGCGGGGGATCCAACAAGGGCACCGATCGCCTCTCAAAGAGGTTTCTTTTCTTTAATATGAAAAAAGGGACCCTGGTGAACGCTTTTCGAGACGAGCTAAAAAGAAAATTATAAAAATATAAGAAAAATAAACCCTCAAAAAGTAGATACAGAATAGTTTCAAAGAGATGGATAGTGAAAAAAGAGAAATTTTTCACAAAAAGACGTTTCATATTCGAAAATTACAAGAATTCGAAAGAAATTTTGGTTAAAAGAAGTGAGTTGTTGGTTTTAAGATTGAAAATTTAAAGGAAATCATTGTAAAGAATAGAAAAGAATAGAAAGAAAAAGATAGAGAAAAAGAAAAAGAAGAACTAAAGTATAATGGTTTCATTTTATGAAAAGAAATGATGGATATCCCTCGAATTCACAAAGTAGAAAAGCTAAATAACTTGGGGATTCATTTTCAGAATCTTTCTATCGTAAACAACGATTGAAAATTTACCATTATACTTTAGTTCTTTTCTATTTTATGAATCCGAATCAGGCACATCATTCGTTACTTAATAGTGACTAGAGCTAACAAATCAAAGTTAATGAAAGTTAATGAGTTAATGAATGTTAATGAAAGTTATGATACTAGTTGCTTTTTTTCAGTGATATCAGTTTTATTAAAGATCTCCACTCTATTTCAAAACTACTCAAAGTATTGTAAATTTTCATCGCCTTTTAGAGAAGGCATTAGTCGAAAGGAATGAACTCTAGTGGTGACAGTGACAGCCAAAAAAAAAGAAGTAGAAGTCAGTACCGGATGTTCGCAAAAATGGAATTTTCTAGAAAGAGAGAATACGAATCGATGCCTTCAGGGAAAAGGAAAGCGAGAGAGATCGTTTCCAGTATTCGGCTCGATATCGGCTTGTCGACGGGAGTGGGTCCAGGCTTGAAACTGAGAAAAGGGGAAAGGGGGAAAGTGCTGAAAAGTGTGGCCTGTGTTGAGGGAAAGTTTCATGAATCTAGGTAAGAAAGGGGTGATAGTTGAAAATGAGAGGATAGGGATTTTAGAGAATTTGTAGATTGGATGAGAGAGAGAGAGTTGTAGAGCTGTGGAAATCTCTAGATCAGTTAGAGATCTCTAGATCTTAAATCTCTGCGTCCTAGAGAGTCACAGAAAACGTTTAGAGAGTTGGGAATGAGTCGAGAAATGAAGCAAAAGACTGTTTAGCGGAAAGACACGGTAAAAGTTGCACGAAAAAAGTGGTAGAGTTGGAGAAAAAGGCGTCGAATCTATCTTAAAGAAGAGATAGCTGAAACTTGATTAGTTAGACGTTAAATAAAGAGGTGAAAAGATTGGGGCGGAGAGATGAAAAGGGTGGAAAGGGACTTCTTCTCCGCCCACCCTCCCCTTTCTTTTTCCTCCTTTCTTTTTCCCCTTCTGCACAATGATCGCCTTGTCTTTCCCAATCCCCCTCAGGACCCAACCCCCTCGATTTTTTTTTTACTTGATGATCACCAAAAGTGTGTGCCTTTTTGCCTGATGCCTTTTGCCTTTTGGCATGACGTATATAGTGAAATTTTGTGTCATTTTTTCGGGAACACCTGGGATCCGGTGAGGGGAAAGAAATGAGAAATGATCGTATTTCAAAATAATCTGAAAAGCGGTGAAGAGTTGGGGATTGTAAAGGGACTTTTAGATGAAAGTTAGTTAAGTTAATGTTAATGTTAATGAAAGTTAATCAAAGTTAATCAAAGTTATGATACTAACTGCTTTCTTTCAGTGATATCAGTTTTATTAAAGATCTCTTTTTTGTTTGTACTATATTTTTTTAAATATATCAACTACTTGTCTAGTTGTTTTGAAGTTTTCAATTTCCAATTTCACAGCTAAACTTTTCCCGATACGAATAGTACTGTACTAGTACCGTAGTTCACCGTACCACCAGTTTTATACAGTAATATCTTTCCGATAGACGTTTCTCTGATCTAACGATAGATCTAATGATTTTCTGATCTAATCGCTGAAGGTTTAAGTTTATTAAGACATTGAGAACTCAAGGAAAATCAAGAACATCAATGAAAATCAAATTCTGTACTGTTTTTTTTCAGTTTCATCTCTTAATCACCTTCCTACACCTTCCATCCAAATCCAAACTTCCCGTAGCACTTCTCAAATCAGCACACTGCCATTTTCAATAAACAAATCGATATTCTGATAGGAGATCGCAAAAAAAGAGAGAGCTATTGCTCAAAGTCGGGAGTAGGAGGAGTTGCGTGCAAAACAGAGATGAGAAGCGAGGTTGGGCTCAAGGAAATAGCAATGATCAAGTAAAGGATGAGAAGAACAAGAGCAAGAACAAGAAAAGATAGGTCTGATCTTTCGCTTTTCTCTTCATTTCATTCATTCATCCATTTCTTCACATTCTCTCCTCCTCCTCGAATCTGGTGGAGTCTCGCCAAAATCCATTGTAAAGCCATAGGGATGCCCCCTCCTCATCCTGCCCTTTATCCCCTTTCCCTTGTGGACATTCATTGACAACCTCCCGTTTCCTTTCCCCACCTCACTTGTCTTCGTCGAGAAAAGGAGAGAAGTATCCCGAAAAAAAATATCGAGCAACACACTGTGCCCGGCTTTGGTTGGAATGAGAGTGCTGATCTTTGTTAGGGGTAGATCATGAGCTGTGGGAAGGGGCTCGCCACTATCAAGCTTTAGATAGATAGTACAGGTATCGGGTTAGAATTTTTTGTATTCTTGTATTCTTAACTTTCACTATGCATATCAAATTTTACTGTAGATTTGTTTCCATGACAAGAACAGATTCAAGAAAGTCAAGAAAGTCAAGAAAGTCAAGAAAGTCAAGAAAGTCAAGAAAGTCAAGAAAGTCAAGAAAGTCAAGAAAGTCAAGAAAGTCAAGAAAGTCAAGAAAATCATAAGTACCGGAAAAGAAGCTAAAGTCAACTCGAAAGTTTATATAGTATACTGGAGCATAAATGCTTTTTGTAGGGTTACTATATGTCAAAGTCGTCTATATTTACGACATTCACTCTACACAAAAACATGACTTGAATTTTATAATTTCCGGATATACATGTTGCGGCATAGTTAGCGACTAAAGTTTTAGAAAAATCTATTTTTCTAAAAAACTTCATAATAAATGTTATTTATTATATACTATTTGAGAGCTCTAATTCTCAGCTATATTAGCTCACAAAGGGTTTTTTGATTGGAAAAATTTTCGGTTTTTTTAAGGCGACTCGAGAGGACCGCACAGCCCTCCCCTCGGCGCGCTACCATTTTTCTTAGTGTTCTAGATAAGAATCCTCTCCCTGAAGAATCCTTCCTCAACGATAAATTTGCGCATATTTTATCAAGATAAATTTATTTCAATGGTTTTCCACAAAAATGATAGATTAAAAATGTTTTGATCACCAATCTTTGAGGCCTCAACATGCGGTTTTTCTCCCTTCTCCACAATGAGTGCCTTGGCGCAGAGCGAGAAACTTTTTTGAGCTAGAAGTCACCTCTATTCCGTCAAGCTTGCTTTGTTCTGAATTAATAAACTCGTTAAAACTTTATTCAACTAAAAACAACCCCTTTTGAAACTCTCTTTGCCTTTGCAGCCAAGAAAAATGGTCGCGCGCCGAGAAGTGTTTGCTGTGCGCCCCTTCAGGGTCGCCTTAAGGATGCGAAAGTTTTTCCAATCAAAAAACCCTTTGTGAGTTAATATAGCCGAAAATTAGAGCTTTCAAACAGTATATAATACATAACATTTATTATGAAGTTTTTTAGAAAACTATATTTTTCTAAAAACTTTGGTCAGTAATTATGCCACACCCTGTAATTTGGGACACACCAAGTGGTCTGTAAATTTGCTTGCCTGGTGGCAGTCATCTAAAAACATGCTTTCCCAATAAATTTCCAATCCACAAAAACTTTTATTGGCAATGTTAGTCAGTAATACTGTAACACTGTTCCCAAACAGGTTAAAAACTAAAACTTAAGAGAATGATACAAGAAAGTAGAAACAAAGTAAAAGCTCACAAATGCAAAAAAATTCATGAAAGATTTAACAAGAGAGAGATTTAAGGTCATAAAAGAATACTCTTAAAAGTTGGTCATGGAATGGTAAAAGACAGAAAAGACATTGACAAAAATCTAAAGCTACAAACCATTATCTAATCCTCTAAAGAGACGTACACTATCCAAAAAGCTAAGGCAAAATAAGGGATTTGATTAAAAATGGTAAGTCAACAAAACGAAATGCAGTAAAACAAAAGTGAGATAGGCGAGTGGTGAATTTATTCGGCATTTTTTGGTTCACTGAGTGGCTCCATCTCTTGTTCAACGGGAGTTCCCTCGATCTCTGAAATAAAAGGTCATTTTCATAAAAATTAGAATCCAAGTAAGCTCATTTCATTGTGACAAAGCTGATACAAGAAATTTGATTGCAAGAGCAAAAAATTTAAGCAAATTGAAACTCTTATAGCAAATTTGCCTAACTCTAATATCTTTGTTGATCTTTTTTGGTTGTTTGCAACAACGATTGTCCTGAAAACGTATTTAGATTGCTTTCGCCAGATGCAAGCCTAACAAGTCCTAGAGACTTTAAAACTCAAAGTTATTTACCTTGAATCGTTTCCGGTAAATGCTTGCTCATCGTTTCGGGGAGGAAGAACCATGTGACGAGACAGGCCGACAATGCCAATACGCTGAATGGGATGAGCATCGCGATCTTCCCGAATTTTTCCACAATCCACATTGAAATGAACGAGGCCGAGATAGCACCAACACGAGCAATTGTCGAACAGTAGCCCATCGCCGTGTTACGAACCTAAATTTGAAAATTACAAGATAAAATACTACCCAATATTGCATTAAAAGAACTGACCACTGTAGGAAAGATCTCTGGAGTGAATGTGTAAATCGAGGCGTAGACGGCAGTGATTGAACCCTTTACAATCATAAGCTGAGCAATCGACATCCATTGATTTACTAAAAATAATTTGAAACGCTAATTTTTGCCAAACATACACTCTGGCAGGAAAATATTGGCCAATAGGACGATTCCCGGAATTGCGAATCCTCCTGCAAGCACTGGTCGACGACCTAAAAATGAAAAATTTCTATTTTTGCAAAGACTTTTGCCTTTGCGTATTTAATAAGTTTCATTAAAAGAACCAAAGTGCATGCTCACCTATCCGATCGATCAAAAGATAGACGATAACCAAAGCTGGCATTTCGATAAGCGCTCCTAAAATATTTTAAATAGATCAAAGACTAAACTAAATAACCAACCCATAATAAAGCTCACATAAAAGATCGCCTCCAAGTACGTCGGGCTTCATGCCGAAGCCGTAGTAGATCATCGATACCACTGGCCTAAATGAAGAATTATTAAAGTTACCAAGGTAATGGTTAACTAGATGAAATAAAAATACCATAAAAAGAAAACAGCTAGTGTTCTTCGTCGCATTTTCGGAGTCGCAATAAGATCCTGAAAAATAAAAAAATGAAATTTAAAGTTAAAGCGAATAGCCTACCATCGTCGAGTATTTTTTCGTTGTGCCATCTTTCTTCGCTCCTTGATCTTGGTCCAGTTGTTCCCACCTAAAATATTTCTTATTGGTGTTCATTTTATTATGCGTGCAGTTACTAAACACACCATTTATCGGGCAGAGTGACTCCGTTCATCTTGGCGGCCTTTTGTAGAACTTTGTCCGCTTCGTCCCATCGTTGCAACGAAACCAACCATCGCGCACTTTCCGGGACCAACCTGGATGCATTACTTTTTGGCTTCTTCAAAATCTAATACTTACCACCAATACGTTAGAAAAATGACACCAGGTGCCGAGATAACCACATGAAGCCATTGGAAGTCCGTGATGTAATAGGCTGCACCACCCAAAATTACCTAAATGACAAATGATTTGACAACTTGGTAAATGTGGCATTTGCAACAAACGGTCAACAGCTTTTACAAACCTGTCCAAGCGCGTAGAAAATCCCTGAAATGACACCGGCCAACTTTCGATACGACGGTCCCACTAGCTCCATTCCGATGATCACCGCAATAACAAAGATACCCGGATGAGCAAAGCCGGTAGCAGCTCTGAAAAGAAAAATTACTCTTCATACGAGGGTAAGCAAGAAGTATCACACCAATTTATAGCTTATAAGTCATCAAACTGACGTGTTAAACGCAAGAATCGCAAAAATTACCGGAAAATGACGTACATCCACCAAACAGGCACAATCGACTGCATCATTCCTGCAATCATTTGCAAGATGATTGCGATAAAGAAGACTTTTTTTCGGCCAATCCTAGGAAAAAAAATGAATATGCCTGGAAGTGCTAAACTTACTTATCACCGAGGATTCCAAAAACGATGCTCCCCGCCATTTGTCCAGCATAATAACCGGCTTGAACGACTGCTTTCAAGTAATGTCGATCACAGACGATATCCCACTAAAATTTGTATATTAAAACCCATTGTTTATTTTATTCGACTCTAACAACAAACTGTTTACCTTTTCTTGTGCGGTGAGGCTCATTTGTGAATGATCGAAGACATAGCCCGTACAAGTGTCGTTCCCGATTGAACACATCACATAATTGCATTTAACATCCGGTTGGCCTCGATCCGATTCGTTTACTTTCGTCTTTGTTTTCTAAAGCAAAAAATAGACTAAAACTTCTATTAAATTTTCTACCAAAGCGAGCAAATTGCTTACCGTGTTCCAACAATCTTCAAGGTTTTCGTCAATGAGCTTGCTGGTTGTCCAATAGTTGGCCGTTCGAGGATCCGTTTCGGTTGGGAGAGCGCATCTAAAAAAAAAGCAATGTTGGTTGAAATCTATAAAAACTTCTATATTCTGATTAAAGTGCTTCAACCCCAAACAATTAGCTGACCTATATGGCGTGTTGTGGGCGGCAAAGGTCCAGCTGAAGGCGTGTAAGGCACAGAGCATTGTCGGGATTGTCACCAGCAGAAACTGCACTTTCTGGTACCTAAACAAAAAATGTATTGGAGTTTAATTCTTTATATTGAGTTCTCTGAATTGGTAATATTCACAAAATTTGTATTAACATGGCTAAAAGCTAAAATGGCAAGTTTTCAAATTGAATATTAATTGAAGCTTGAAAGCTTTCAGATTACGCTGAATCAATGAAACTCTTAAAACAATAAAGAGTCAAACATTTTCAAAACTTTAGTCTAACTATAAAAAGTTTAAAAAACATACCTGCCCATTTCGCCAAGATGGCTGAAGAGGAACTCGTCGAACTTCATCTTTTCCGACGACGCGTTCGTCGGTGTTGTTTCCTTCGTTGAGCTACTGCTTGACGATGCACATTAATCGGAGTTGGATTCACTGAAAAAACACAAACATCAATTAGAAAATGGAAAGAAAAGAAAGAACATAAAAAGCCAGAGTTTTCCCATCCCTAGTAACCGGTAATTAGCGATGGTAGAAAAGAATCTATTTCAAGTGTTGCAACGATTTATCTCATTTAAATACGACTTGTTTTCATTGTTCATTATTGGCAACTGGCCAGTAATTTGTGGTATATCGCTTTGTTGATTGAAAAGAAAGAGGAGATTTTACAATGCGACCCCGAGCGATACACAAGATATCAAGGAATCGGCGCAAATAAAGCTGTCAGTGCTGATTTCAACGTAATTTTGTAAAATTTCAACAAGAATTCAATAGCTTTTTAAATTCTTCAAATTAGTGCTGGTTCCGGATTAAAAATTTATAGAATTTCCCTGAGTATTGCGCTGTTTAGGCCAAAAGGGTTTGGAGAAAATTGCCTTAATTTCCTTTGGCAAAGAGGGTAAAGGAGTAGCAAAGCTCGTAAAATTTTCTTAGATTAGAAAAAAAATATCTCACCTAACCATTTTTACCCAAGTATACAGTAAAAACTCTAATAGAATGGCCGGCCGTTCTATTTTTCAACCCCTCAAAATCGGTCGGCCAAAAAAGTAAGTAAGGGTCCCCTACATGAATCAAAAATTTATTTTTCCTTGAAAACCGTTTTAAACGATAGTCCTTGGCTTAAAACGTATGCAGAACATGTTTTAGAGTGAAAATATTTTCTTACCCGGAGCCTCTAGAAATTTTCCTGAAAAAAATCCCTGTGATTTTTTTTCTTATTTTTTAAAAGCTGTCCAACCAATTTTATTGCCGATGATAGTTTTGGAATATTTATGCCCAATTCTATCCATTCCCGTCAAAAAATGTCCCAAAAGTCGATATTTCGAGGGGTCAGAGGTTTTTAGTTTTTACGATAGTATAAATTTTGAGTGTCCCCTCTCTGAATTTTCAGTTTTTAGTCCATTTCTCAAAAACTAGTGGATGGTTCTGGAAGTTCAAAAATACCATTCAATAGCAATTTTTTTTGCAAAATTTGCGCATTTAATTCTAGTTTTACCCTTATACGTTTTCAATAAATATTCCAGAATATTCAACTGTCATCTGTTTTTGAGAAAGGGACTAAAAACTAAAAATTCACAATGGACACTCGAAATGTATAAAGTACAGCAAAGGAGAATGGTTAAAAAAAGGCAAAATTTACTACAACTACAGCCGGGTTTTTATATGCAAATTATAAGTCCACAGTTTAGAAAAGAGCACCAATATGCAAATTGATTTTGAAAGTCGGTAGGCTTAAAATTTTCTGCCAAAAGTCGACAGACTGGGGTTAGGCGCGGAAAAAGTAAACGAGCATGGGCAAATGGATGGGATAACGGGGAGATGAGTGAAGTGCCTTGTATGCCCACCTGTCGCTCAATCCCCTCATCCCTAACCCTGTCTCCTTTCCACCCGATTACAATAGCCTTTCCGGGCTTCTCTTTCAAAAACTCAACTCTATAAAAAAGCCTCAAAATTCACTCTAAAAGCATCAAAAATTTGATCTGACAGTCGGAAGGGTTGGCCGACAATTTGGAATTCAAAATAAAATCACTGCTATGTGAAATTTGTACATTGCTCGAAGAGGAATGTTGAAAAATTATTAAACAAAAACGAATTTTGAATCATGGTATAACAAAAAGTGTTTTAGAATGGTGAATCAATTGTTCCATTTTTCTGAGGAATTGCCTCGCTTCAAGAAAAGGAGAATTTTTAGTCTGGAAGCTGGAAAAAGGGGAAGTATATCGCCGTATCCTTTAATCAGATAACCCACAAAGAACTACACACCACTCTCGTCGCAAGGACAACAAAAAAAAATCAAAAGGCTAAATCAAAACAAAAAATATGTGACGAGTGGGAGTTAAAATCTAGAAGGGAAAAGGGAACGTTTTCCTCAAAATCCCCTGAAATCTTTAAAAAAGCCGTAAAACCCAGAAAGGGAAAAACGTACGCGGCCCATAGGATTGATCCAAAAGAAAAGACACGAGGGACTCCTCCTCCAAGTGACTTCTCTTTTGGGATGGGAGATTCCCCGCAAAACGATTCAGAAAACAAGGAAAGGGGGAAACCTTATAGTTAGAAAGACAGAGTCCTCTGTGTTGCGGAATGCAACCCAAAATATCCAGTCTGCCTGTCGACAACATTGCTAATTCATTAAAGGTCGCGGAAGAAAAATTGTCTTTAATTTAAGCAGCTAAATATTTCAAAACTTTCATTGGACAAAATCAAAGCTACAGTACCCACCAAGTACAATAGGCATTCAGTTTATGCAAATTACACTTGAAGTCAGCTTTATATCAGCTTTATAGCTTTTTATGATCGATCGAAAACTCGTTTTTAAAAAAGTTTTTAGGATGCTTCTATCTAAACATCCTGGAATGATTCTCAAAAGAGAGGATGACTTAAAAGAAGAGTGCGGTCATAAAAAATGACACATCTCAGTAAATAAAGACACAATTTTTGATCAAGAGCGAAACTAAACAAAAACGCGCAATCCAGACTTTCGTCGCCACAAACCACTGCTTACCGCACAAGTTACCCCGGTTTCAGTGTTGCCAAAATTGAACAAAAACGAACATTGAACTTAGCAAGTTCTCGTAAGAAAACAGCAGCAAGTAGTCGAAGAAAGAGCGCCGCGAGTGAGAAGGGCAAATTCGAGGAGCGTGGGAGCATTTCGGGTTTCGAAAGACGAAGGCATTCCCCTTGGAAACATCCATTGTTCTCCCCAGAGATCCACCCCTTACCCTTCTCACTCTTTCTACAAACAAAAATCTAATATTCCGTTGAACCCGAATCCAGCTGCCAACACATGTTCAAGTACTAACAAACTCTAGAATACATGATGAGCATATAAATAAATCTTTGATCTTCGTGGCGCATCCCTAACGTAGAAGCAAACGAACTCCAATAAATAATTTATTAGAAGATTACGCCCAGAAACAACTTTAAAGCAGTGACAAACGTATGCTCAGCCGAAAAATTCTACTGCTTACACAAATCATGTGCTAACAAATGAAAATTTTCCATCAAAATGAACATAATACCTTAACAGATTGAAAACGGAGATAAATAGCATGAAAAAATGAAACCTTAAAATAAATAAAGTTTGAGGTAAAAACAATAAAATTCCAAAAAGTTTATGGGTGAAAAGAGTTTTGGGATGTTTATCAAAGGATACAATCCGTAAAAACAATGTAACAAAAGAGAGTGGCAAATAAATAAAAGGGAGTTGGAAAAAAATTGGCATCTATAACAACGAGTGAATCACGTAAAATATGACCATTTAGCTGAAATGGAAAAATCTTACAATAATAACTCGAATTATTCAGCGGTCCCGTCAACTTTCTCCGTTGGAACCTGAAAAAAAAAAAGAGTATAAAATAGTAGAGTTAAAAGTTACTTTTTCAAAACCGTCGATGATCTCGCTGAGAGTGTCTCGAAATTTCGTCAACGAATTCAATGGAACGGTGATTGAGGTGCGGAAGCCGGAAGCCTGCTTCACCTAAATTATTATTATTATTATTGCTCATGATCAAGTTATGAGAATTTTTACACAACTATTCTTTAGACCAGTAGCAGAACCTCCACATGTTCTTAGAAATTCATACTATTTTGCAATAATAAATCAAGTGCGCCCACCTCTGAGATCCTCAAAAAGCTACCACGGTCATTACTTCCACTGTCAAAGTAGAACATCTTGCCGCCTTCACCGCGAAACTAAAAAATAATGAATCAAGGCATAAACAAAACAATTAGGTAACCTGTTTAGCCTCTGGAAGATTTGCTGGTGAAATATGTTCATCCAAATATCCCTCGGAATATTTCTCGATGAGTTCCCGTAAAGTCGCGAGAAGTTCACCGATACCCTCTCCCGGAATCACCACCTGAACTTTCTGCTTTTTGTTGGGTGGAAATTTTATTGCACTTATAAACAAACCTGGCTTCGAGACATGCGAGCGTTGTAAGAGGTCGCCGCGTTCTAAACCTTTTCATATAAGACATTAACAGTTAAGTGTATACGGTTTGAGCAATTCGCAAGAAACGTCCCCGAGAGTTCTGCTTGAGATCCAAATAATAGCGCCTGGTTTCATAATTCAACGTCTCTGACTTCAGTTCAACGTCTTTCTAAACAAAAGTTCATTAAAGTTAAATATATCGTTAATTCACCTCGGCTTCTTTGTCTGGTGTCTCATCGGAAAACGCTTTGAGGATCTCAATCTTCTCGGCCAAGGAAACTGCTGCCGACATAGTGAGAATGATGCGCGATTTGTGATTGTTTCCCATCTAAATTTCCCACAAGAATTCTCAAGCTTCTACTACTTATAGCTAACGCAATTTCTGTTTCGACAGCATCAAACAAAAAAAATACCTCAGCTATCTTGATGAAACGTCCTCGCTTGTTCTGCTTGGCATCCACGTAGAAGCGTTTGTATTGAATGTTGAGAACCTTACTCTCAAGATCGTCTTCGTTTGGCTGCCCACCTTGCGCCACTCGCCGTTCACCAGGTTGTTCCCTATCTTCACTGCTATGAGACATCTAAAATCAGTGTGATTGAAAGAAAGTTAATTAGGCAGCACTGGGATCATCATAACCAATTCAAATTAATGTCTAATTGTTCACAACACCTTTCACTAAAACCAATAATTCATTGATTGAAAAATTCAAAAATATGTGTTACAAAGATACCTTTTATTCTACTGCACAAAACGTTAGCACTCATTGATAAAAGTTATAGGTCTCTAACCCCAATCATCAATATCGAAACTCAGTAGTCTGCAAAACATTTATTTTCAGCAAAACAACGTTACAATAACAAGAAACCCGTACAAAATCAGCAAGAAATAAGAGATCAAAAAAGACGTAAAAGTGAAAGTGCCATAAGAAATACTTGTAAAACCAAAGAAAAACAAATATGAACCAAAAACAATTCTAAATTCTAAATCAATTCGATTGACCAGCAAAACAATATTCAAATAAATAATCTCAAGAGTGCAAAAATGTTCCGATCAACTTCCAACCTCCATTCCTTCCTAAAAAATTATATGTATCAAAATCTTGTGACAAAAGCCCACCTGTACTGATATCAAAAATTTCAATCGTTCTTCAACTAATTCCTTTGAGATTGCCAATTCTTGTGAAGCGTACATCGCAATATTCTCGAGAGCATCTTCCATCTGAATTAATTTGTTATTTGTGAAGAATCTTAATGAAGATAATGGAGGCAGAAAAACCTCACCTCATTATAAGAATTCACCAAATATGTGTCATCTTCAATAGACCAACTCAGCGGTTGTTTGGTTGCCCGTTTCTTCACATTTTTACTTTGTTCTTCCTTTTTGTCGTAACTCGGTTGAGCATTCACGTATTGCCCCGTTGAAGTATAGACTTGTAGCCTACCATTTGACGTCACGCAGCAGGACGTGCCCTAAATTTAATTTAATAAGAGGAGTGACCAGAAATACTAAACAGTATTTACCTTTTTATGAAATGACTTATTTGGTAGTAAATCTTCAATAACTTCGAAATTTTGTGATTGAGACGACGATATGTTGCCCTGGCTTGTCGATGCAGTTAAATCAAGAAACTCGAACATTTGTGCTTCAATGCTAAATCAAAATAGAATTGAAATAAACAAAGTAGTGTTTTACGAATGATCGGTAATCGTCCATGGGCACTTGCGTTTGAGTTGTTTCAAAAGCGCTGGTTGATTCGAAAACACAATCTCCAATCGATTCCACAACTCTTTCTCGTCATAGTTTACCTCGACACCTAAACTGTAACTTAAAAACTAGAAACAGCTTTGAACATACAAATTTCTAGAAGTTGCTTCAAAACCTGTTTGTGATTAAACCGTATTTTCCCGGGTGGAGAGTACTTCTAAATTGGTTCATTGGCTTGAAAATTCCCTGACAAACTACCTCAATTGTTAGCAAAAGCTCAAACGCATTCTCGTAGCTGCATCGAAGAGGTTGTCGCAAATAATCGCTGGGGATTGTGTGCACCGGTAGAAGGAATGACAACAAGCAGAGTACATGTTCGTGTAATGGTAGAAGAACTGTCACCATCTTTTGCCACATCTAAAGTCGAAGTAAACACTGTGAGCAACATAATCAATACTTCGATTGAAGGTGCAGAGTCGAGAATCAAAGCATACAATCGATTTCGAATATCATCGTGAAGGGAGAGACGAAGATCAATATCTGCTTTGATTTTACTAAAATAACTAGGTAATCTAAAAACCGTTCCAAAGAATACCAAATTAAAAAGTGGCCTCCTTGGATGTTGATTGGTCGCTTGCTGGTATCTCCATCGTCTCCACGATTTCGCTGAGCACGTGCCGTCTTTCGTTTCATCAAGGAAACAATCGAGCGATCTTCACTTTCTTCTATATTTTCCACGTCTAAAAAGAGGCGCACTGGCATTGTTTTTCAAATAAGACAAAATTTACCGTTAGAATTCGAGTTATCGGGACAAAGCATCGATGTCGATAGTGCTTTTGACTAAATTCAGAAATTAGCAAAGACATTTTGATAATTTAAGGATGATGGAATTGCTGTTAAGCACCTAATTATCTAATATTAAGTTAGTCCTCCAATCTCTAAAGTGCCAAAATTATTAGAAACTAAAAAAAATTGTTTTTATCACCTTATTTTGTCGGTTTTCTTTTGTAGAGGTAAACAAGGTGCGTCCGGGGTTTCCGATTAAAGCCGGGACTGCTTGATTGGACCTCATTGAGGGCGACCACATCCTCGAACAATCTTCGCGTCTAAAAAAGTACATAAATAAAAACTCATAAAACAAATACACCTTGGCGTAAGTGGAATATCACGTGAAGGTGACATGCTTCTCGGGGAATTCACCATCGGGGTCGCGCAAAAGTCGAGCTCGGGTGACAAAGAATGTATCGGTGTTGTCGGGATAGGCGACTCCATTCTTGGTTTGCTCTCAAAAAAGTCAATTTCATTACACGACTTCTTCTAATTATAGCATATTTACCAGCAAACACCTGCTAATTTGCTAGAGAAGTTAAAATAAAAGCGTCCTAGAAAAGATACTACGGTAGAAAGAGCAACAAATAAGTATTCCATAAAATCTATGCACATTCAATGAGCCAAAGTTGTTAAAGACTCTCAAGAGTTATCATCACAAAAAACAAATACAGTCGAACTTCTCTATAACGACCTTCTACAAAACGATTTTGAAATTCTAAAAGATGCCCCTAATTTCTGCGTAGCTGCCCAATTAGGGGCAATCGTTGCCCGCACAGGGCAGCTACGCAGAAAATGTGGGGCGCGTGTTAGGATCGTTATATAGAAATTTTCGGTCCCTTCGATATCGTTATAGAGAAGTTCGACTGTAATGATAAAAGAAACTTTGAGCCAAAATGGTTTCAAAGCACTCGGCCAGGAATCCATCGGTCCAACAATTCGTAACGGTTGCTTAAAATTCCAATCTAACTTCAATGTGCCATTGTTAGCTTGCTAAATTTAAAACTAGAATTGCTTTCAAAATATTATTACCATTATCATTTGACTCAATGGATCGGTCGATTTATCTTTGCACTTTCGTCGCAAATGATATTCAATCTGTTGTGGGTTTTTGGTGGGCAGCAAATGCTTTGAGATTAGTACTGATCTAAAAGTAAATTTTAAAATACAAAAATAACTATACACTTTTTCTGCCCCCGGTTTGATGCCCGAGCTCTGTGCTTCTCGATGTGTCCGAATTGAATAAGCCCTAGTATGAGCAGCAAATTCTCTGAATGAGTGAAAGAAGAGTAAGATGTAGACGTCGGAATTGCATTCATCGCACACTATAGAGAGGATAATCAAAATAAGTAGCTTTAAAATTACTTCAGGTACTAGTTCTGGGTAAAAATCGCTTCTGAAGTTCTCAAAAGCTCCCATACTTCGGGACGAGGCAAAAGACCCTAAAGCACAAAATTTACACACAACCAAATTTGTAAAGCGAACGGGCATGTGTTGGCATCTCGGGTGTGGGCCTCAAAAATATGTGCATGTTTGGATCCCAATTATTTATCTAAACTAACGACTTTCACTAATAAGCAATAAAGTTCGTCAACCTTTGTTGTATTGGTGGCTTCATGGCATGTGGAAATAGCGGCTGGCATATTTTTAATGTTAAACATACCATTTGGATTGTGCTCATAGAACAAGATATCCAATTCGTTCTAAAACTAATTAATAATTAGGAAATTAAAATTATTGAACTCACAATCATAGCTAGGAAGCGACCTCGAAACCCCGCCAATGTGTCATCAAAATTACAAGCAACAACCATTTGCGTCAGAAGTTGTACGTGCTAAATGCATATATGGTTACATAAACAAAAGTTTGATGCCTCTAGAGTAAGTACTATAAATCAGAATAACAAGAATTATCTACTTGTTCAAGTTGAGTCTTCAGCTGTGCTACTTCGCAGTCCCGAAACTTTTTAGGTCCGTTGCCTAACAAACGTGCCGAGTTGCTATCATCAACGAATTGCAAGTCCGGTTCCTAAAAAAGGCAAACTAATTAAAGAGAGATAAAACCACCTTCGCAACGATTATTTCAGTTGATTGCCTAGGTTTGCTCTTGGTGCGTCGTTGCCTTTTTGAGTTAATCTAAAAAATTTTTTTGGAATGTTATCAAAGCCACAAACCTGATTAATTAGCTCTTCGGTCGGCGCCAATCCTGTCAAGAAAAGTTCCGTTTCCTCCACAGTCAGATCAGTCAGAAGCGCCGTTGTTTCACGTTCTAAAGAATCGATCGTTGTGCAAAGAGAGCATTATCGATACTAGTTATTTCGGTCGCACGATCTCGTCGAATCTCTTCCGGCTCTTTTTCAACTTCCTCAAATTCACAAGTGGCCGGCACGAATTCTTCGTCTTCCTCTTCGTCATCGGGTAAAGGCACTAAAGAAAATAAAATTATAACTTACTATTGTTAAAGATACTGACTTGCCGCCGTGTTGATCGATTGGCAGAAACCAAGATATTCCGGATCCACATTAGAATAAACCTAATTTACCAAATACTACATGTTGCTAACAAGTTTTCTCACTTCCTGATTAGAGCAAGCAAAAAGTTCCCGTTTCTCTTCTTCCAAAGCATCACTTGTAGCTGTCAGATTGAGATTTGCTTTTGATCTCGTGCTGTACTTCCAAGGTACCCGCTCGCTGATTTCTTCATTCAACATGTCGTCTAACTAAAGTACAGCTTTGATGTGAGTAAACGGTTTGCGCTTTACAAAATTTTGAACTATTATCAAAAAACATATCAAACTAGATCCGTATTTATAATTGCAACTTACATTTAGCTGCATATCAGAATTGCTGTCATATGGTTCAACAATTGCGATTGGATCCGGTTGTCTCGAGGTGGAAGCTTCGACAACCAGCGGATAAAATGGTTCTTTAAGAAGTTCCAACTCTCGTTCTAGCTCTAATTCCAAAGCCGTTTCACTGCCAGAAGTAGACGACGTTTCTGATTCGGAGCTTGATTCATCGGCTACGTCAACTTCATGAAGCGTGGGGTCGCTTTCTGGTTCGTAGTCTCCATCAAAGGCGTCTTCTTCCTCATAGTTGACGTTTAGAAAAGTCCGTTGCGCTCGCGAAATTTGAGTGCAAGATTCGTCCGCCTAAAATTTAAGTGTGGATTTTGAAAGACATTTGAGTCAGCCTATAAATTTGATCGAATTTATAAAACATATGCACATGCTAACCTTATCATTTTCATCTATTCATACAGCAAACATAGATACCTTCAATCGACTGGGTCCAGCCTTGGAGCGCGTGATTTTGAGAGTGGGAATCCCTTGGGTATCATGTGACAAGACTTTTGTGATGATTTCCGGGGTGTAAAGGCACTAAAAATTGAATTTAATAAAGTTGGTGCACATACCACAAACCTTTAGCACCGATTTTATGTTTGTCGCGCTCATGTTATATTTTTCTCCCAAGCTCTCAATGTTGTTACAAACATCATCCAATCCGCTTTCATCTAAATTGATTCGTTTTTCGAAGTTTTATCTAGGTATCTAAGTTTAAACATCTAAAACACAAAAGCGTTAAAAATTACCTTCTGGCGCGTCATCCGCACTTGCATTCATAGGACTAAAGATGTTTTGTGCACCTCATATTTTCAATTCATAAGCATAAGTATTGGTTGTATTTCATACAAGAGATAGAGCAAAGACGATATATGAAACTCTTTATCAATTTCGCAAAAACTAAACAAAAAGGAATAACGATAAAACTAAATTCAAACAATAGCAACAACTAAATTCTAAAAGACGGCTAGGTTATATACAGAGACTAGTTCTATCAATAATCATTTATCCAAACGGAGCCGAATATTCATTTCACTTAACTTCGGTGTATGTGCCTAAAGTGTAAATGAAGACAATCAGTGATGAAAAAACTCACATTCAAAAGTTCAACAAGCCTTTGCGCCATCGCGTTGTTAAATGTGCTCAAACAGGCGAGTCCAAGTATTGTTTCGTTCTTTTGTTCATGGATCGTTCGACGGAATGTGCGCGACTCCGTCCATTCTTGAAACCAGTTAGCGTAATCATCATTTTCTTCCTAAATAAAAAAAAAGCCATTATGACTGCAAAATTTTATTGGATATCACTTTTACAATAGCTCACTTTAGGTTGGAAGTCTTGTAGAGCGCCATCAGGTAGGCACTTTATCGTAACATATTTTACGGGTTTATCCATCACGTACGAAAGAAAAGGTCCGTCAATAAATATCTAAAATTTGGTTCATTCAAGATATTGAAACAAAAACACTCACATCAGTCATTGGGTCAAGGCGAGAAATGAGATTCTTCTGCAGAATGGATTGTGAATAGGCTATCCATTCATTATTTACGCTATTTGACGTACTTGGAGACTAAATGAAACAAAACATCTACGTTGACATTTTTTCTGACTGCACAATGTGGCAAACGCTAATTTACGTTCTAACTTACTTTCCAAAGATGCAATTTAGACCCAGGATCCCGGCTAATTGTCCGAAGTAGCAGGCCAGCCAAGTCTGCTTGAGATAACGGCCCCTTCTCTAATAAGCGACGATCCAAGTATCTAAAGTTGAAGGAAACGTGATATTTCTTGAAAAACAAAATTTTCCACTGGAAAAAACTCACTTATTTGAATGACGCAACTTTGGCATCCAATAAAGCATTCGTTTCACTTTTCTTGTTGCAAAATTCCACTCTCCAAAAGCATTTACGACAATATCGTGTGTCTCTTTGTCAGGTTGGACACCTCAAGAATATTAAAATTTCCTCCTTTTTATTACTTCGCTTAATTCTACTGTTGTAAGATTCGTTTGAAATTATTCTTAGTTTGAGTAGAATATAATTATTTATTCTAAATAAACTTCTATACAAACATACAAACTTAATACCATGCCATTCCATTTCGTCTAACACTTTCACACAACAATTTTGCTGCAGAGGATAATGAAGAAAAATTTTCTAAATAATATTGAAGCTGAAGACAAAAAAGCCACATTCAACCTGCCATTGGTTCTGCGGAATCAGTTTTCCTTTTGGAAAAATGTTTAACAGTGCCTTGTATGCCTCGAGATCTTTATGTACACCAAAGTCTTTCATGTATTTGAGGGCAGAGTGCAAAAAATCGACATAGCTCCGGGGTTGGCGCTCTTTGAAAATAACTAAATCGAATTCCTTTATTTGTTATGAATTGGTTGAACATACTGAGAGCAGCATAGAAGGCCTCTTTGTTTCGTTCCGACGGTGGGACTGATTCGAACTGTTTTTCAATGTGAACGAGTCCTGTGTGTTGGGCAGAGCTGGCTTCTGTTGAAAGTAATCGAAGTGGCGCGTAAATACCCCGCATTATGGAACGCATTTTCAATCAATTATAGTAACTTCTTTCACTAAATTAAAATAAAAAAGAACTTTACTGAGTCGAGCTCAAAGATTTCAAGACGCACTTTAAATTTTGCCTAGCTTGCTTGCAGGATTACGGTTTAAGATCGAAAGATCCACTCTTTCCCAAAGGAAGAAAACTAGGGGAGCTGGTCAAAACAGCGCCGGCCAAAATAATGCGTTTGCGGTTAAGTCTATTTGTGTTTCTTATTTTCATTGGATGTAAAAAAATTAGCTATCTGCTGAATTTTTGGAGCCTTTTAGAACAAATCTGTGACAAAATGCCAAAAAAAGAAAAAGAGCTTAAATAGAGGTCAACTGCGCTTTTCTCGACACCAATTCTGATCTAAGTGATCCCAAAGTATGCAAAAGGTCGATAATTTTATTTGGCATCCAATAAGAGTAAGAAACACAGAAACTTAACCGCGGAAGAGCTGTTTCTAGCGTGGCGCTGTTTTGGCCAGTTCCCAAAACCAGAACTGTTGAATGACTAACGTAATCACTTGTCAGCAACTAGAGTTCACCAAGATACAATTCCACTTAAATCTTCAATAGTTTTAGCAGTAACTATTCTACACTCCACTTGAATTTTAGCCAATAAAAATTTATTCAAAAAATACTAAGGCTGTTTAACAAAAAATGGAAGAGAGTTGAAAACACCAAAAACAAATAACATACAAGTAAACGAAAAATTAAAAATTGCCTTTTTTCCTTTTACGCGTTGACACGCAGGTTCGAAAACCTGGTAGATTTATATACAATTTTGTTCTTGACGTCCTCATCCAAGAAATTGAGTGTGGCTGGATTGACTCCGGCAGCGGCTTCATTCTTCCTGAAATCTAAACAAAGTGAACAGCTAATATGGACAAGTACTTACAAATGTTGAACCACCATACGGCGTCCACGTTCAGCGTAGCGATTGGCAACATAGAGTGGCGTTGGTAGAGAAGTCGGAAGAGCCACAATTTGATGCATGTAGCACAAGCTGTAGGTGAACTCCTCGATGTCATCCATTGACCATTTGCAATCATCACAAAGAATTGTGTACAGTGGAGTCAAGGCGCTACCCTAAATATAAAGTTAATTGAATAGTTTTAACCTTTAACATGCCTGAAGAGCGATGTGAGAGTTCAAGTAGAATTGCTTGAACTTAGGGCTTGTGAGAATCGTGTCGACAACACATCCAGGATCAATGTTCTGCTTGTTGGCTCGGTCACTTGGGTTGATTTCGGCGCGGAAGAGACGGGTGCAATGATCCTTTGTGACGATGATGTAGGTGAGGGCAATTTTATTCTTGGAGTCGGTTGAGTATTTTGACAAGACTTCTTGAATGGCCGGAATTTCATTTTGGATCATCTGAATGCAATCAATGAATGATAAGATACGCACAAATCAAAACCTTGTCGTACGCCGTTTCAGGAACTCCTCCTCGGTACAAGACAACACGTTTAGGCAGTGAAGTGGGACGCTTGCGGGCTGCATTTCCGACGCCGCACATTTTCATCCAGTCATCAATGACACGCTGTACCACCAGACCACCAATCAACTAAAACGATACAATAACAAAGACGTTACGATTTCAAGACCTGGTCCGATGCCAATTTTGGGTCCACAAGTTCGAAATCTCCGCAAAAGCCGTCGACGTCCGCAGAAATATTTGCGGCGTATCCAACAACAGTCGGCATTGGCTGTTCTCCCTCAAGTCGGACTCCTGGAGGCGCAATTGTTGCCCCCAATCCAATCACCAACGTTTCGCCTTTCTGGAGAAGAGTGTTGCCATTGCTAAATTTGAGTCTACTTAAATCTTAAATAAGGAGGCCAACATTTTGATTGAATAGTTGATGCCACCAAGCTTGACGTTCATCTTGTTGCATAAATTTTCCACCGTAGCTGGCTTGCCCTTCTCGAGCACTTCACGTGCCGTTCGCAGTTTGATGTTTTGGGTAACGATTTGATACTTGCGCTCAAAGCTCTTGATCTCATCTAAATCTTTTATAAAAATAAACCAAAAACACAATACAAACCTTGAATTGTTAAGCTGTCATCGGTGACCATAAGTGCGAAGTCGACCTTATTTTGTGCCATCGTCTGGAACATTTCTTCAAGTCTTTCAAAGTTCACCACCTAAAAGTAACAAGTTTTAGCCAACAACGCTATCTACTAACTTCGCATGCAACCGGAGCTTCCAGTTGAACACCGCGTCTTATTGCTTCGTTGTAAAGTCGTTCGGCCAGTGGTTTATAGTGCTTGATATCTTGGGGTTGTCGGACAATGAGAAGAAAAGCCCAAACATCACATTTTCCGGGTATCAGATATTGTGCTCCTCGCTCGATCTTCCAAGTGACTAAATTTGCATAACTTGCAGATAAGGACTGAATAAACTTACATCGCTCCATGTCGATATTAGCTGTATGTCCATTGTTGTAGCGAATGACAGGTGGTGCGAGTTGGCGAGCATTCACTTTCATCGGGTTTGTGACCACGCGGAAACCGCCATGCTTGGTTTCGAAGATCTCGTTTGCCTCGGCATTGTTCATAATGAGTGTTTGTCGGCGAATTGGTGGCACGGCACATTCCTAAAAAACAAAACTATTCTTCTCAATGATTTTGCAATACTTTGGTCGTCTCTTTCATTTGTTCAGCAGTTTGTTGTGCAAAGCCGACACGTTGGTCAGGAAGCACTGTACAGACTTCCATTGGGAAGAACGTTTCCTTCTTTGCCTGGACACAGATCAATGGAGCTAATGGTGCTCTAAAAGAAACGTGTTACTGTAAAAAAATGAAAAAAATTGTATCAATTGTTGTGAAAAAGGAAACGTACTGCAAGCATAGATTATACTTCTCCTGATAGTAGTCGCGAACGGAGATCTTCTTGTCGGGCAGGGTAATCACATGTGACGAATCGAAGGCAACTTTGATGATCTTGTAAGCCTTCTTGGACCTTCCGTGAGTGGTTGTAACCATAAGACCTGCGGACAAGAAACAAGTTAGAAAACAAAAATGATTCCCCACCTCTTAGAACAATGTTGAGGCGTTCAATCTGGACAGAGTTACATGAGCGCTGGAAATTGAATCCGGCCAATATGTTGACGGCTTTTTCTGGCATTGGAATCGGCTTGTGGAAGGCGGCTTTTTTTGCATCGATTGCCACGGAGATGTTGGCGCGATCCCGTCCTTTCGGTCCCTCAACGAGTTGCACAGAATATTTTGCACCAACTTTCAGCTCCTTTCCATCAGGCAACTAAATACAAAGATAACTTGCTTGAGATAAGTTAAAAAACAAGCCTTCTTCGTCTCCATTGGATCAACGCCAAACACTTGAGCATTCTTCATGTAGACCTTACCCTTCTCAAAAACCAGAAACGATTGCCTAAAGGTCTTTGCGAAAAGAATATGATATAATTAGCCCACGGATTAGCAAGAGCATGTTGAACTAATCCAATTTGAAGAAATTGAAAAATTGTTCGATCCTTGTCCATTGCAACGAGAGAGTTGTCCATTTCCTTGTAAACATTGAGCGGCATTTCATAGTTTTCAGCGGTGGGTTTGATCTGGACCTCGATGAGATGAAGTCCTTCAAGAGGGCCAACAGCTTGCGCAGGCGTGAGTTTTATTAGGCACCGAAACATCGCACCCTAAAACAGAAAGTTATCTGGTGACAAAGATGATCCCAAAACTTACAGTATACTTCAGGCGCTCCACCGAGAACAAGATGCTTTGTCGATCATAGAAGACAACAACAGGGGAAGCCAATTCGTCAGCATATTGGTCGAACAACATCTCAAAGACTTTCCCGGCCATGGCCTTGCGCTCAGACGAGTAGTGACTAAAAGGATGGATGGAAGGCTAATTGATAAACATGGCATACTCGTTAGCGGTCTTCTTTGCGATCTCAATTGGAACAACAGTTGGATCCGAGAAATCCTCCACTGGGCGCGAAGTTGCAAAGATTGAGACGTCGTAACTGAAGCAAAACAGTTAAATCACCAAAAGACACGAATTTTAGCGCGTAACCCGTAACAAGGAACACCAACCGATAAATCTTCTGCTCCTGATTGATGACGATACCGAAGATGTTGCTTTGCAGTTCAACGGGGCGTCCAGCTTTTCCTGGCTCAATTGGTGTCGGATGAGGGTTGCTGACTCCACTTCCGTTCTTCCCATTGCCGTTTCCGTTGCCATTGTAGTTGAAGCCGGTTTTGTCAAGCCAAACAAAAAAATATTAGAATTAATGGAGATGTTACCTTATAAAGGTCAATTGGCGGCGCCATTTTCTCCAAATTTCAAGTAGTTGATGCTTTTGAAAGCTAAAATAAAAAATAGTTTACTGGATAAACTGAGAGCAATCAAATATGGAAGTCTGAAAGTACCAAAAGCTAGGCAGGTAGGTAGGTAGATAGGTAAGGTTGCGTTTTTTCGATGCTAAATTGGCCTAAATTTTCCTACAAGTTGGAAAGGGTATGGAGAGGAGAGTTGGTAAAGAAGCTGTAAAGAATAAAAATAGGAAAAAGTGGAAATTACCGTATTTATTCCAATCGAAGCGCATTCGCTTCTCTTAGCGGCCCGAAATTAGCCTACCCCGAAAACTTCTTTCTTTTGACACCAAACTCATAGGTTAAAAATTGAATTTTTCGTGCAGCTATTTCTTCTGACGTGAGTGGGCGAGGCTTAAGGAATTACGCTCTAATGGAACTAGAACCGGCAGCTATCCAACAGAGTCAATATTTGTGGACACAATGGAAAATGAAAACTGAAATTTTTTGAAAGCCAAGACACAAGTTACTGACGAAGTGGGCGGGACTTCCAAAATGCCAAAGGCAACGTAAACCCCGCCCCCTCAGCTGAAGGCCTTTATAAGCAGCGATTTTTCAGAGAAGTCTCCGTTATCCATTTTACGATGGCTCGAACAAAGCAAACTTCACGCAAAACGTCTGCCGGCAAAGGAGGCAAGCAAGCGGTTACCGGCAAGCAGGCACGTTCCCATCCCCAAGTCGCGACGAAGGCCGCCCGGAAGGGAGCAGACAATCCGGCTGGAGGGGTGAAGAAACCACATCGCTACCGACCCGGCACAGTGGCTCTACGCGAAATCCGAAAGTACCAGAAGTCGACCGAATTGCTGATGCGTCGTGCTCCATTCCAACGTCTTGTTAAAGAAATTTCGCAGGACTACAAGACTGACCTTCGCTACCAATCCTCTGCGCTGATGGCCCTTCAAGAAGCCGCTGAAGCGTACCTCGTCGGTCTCTTCGAAGACACCAATCTGTGTGCAATTCATGCCAAGCGAGTTACGATCATGCCGAAAGACATTCAACTTGCCCGACGAATTCGCGGTGAACGAGCCTAATGGTGTGATAGACCGCTAAAAATAGAACCCCCAACCCAACGGCCCTCTTTAGGGCCACAAATCGTTTGGGTAGGTAGAAATTGTCTTGATCAAACTTATTTTGACAAAGGAACTGTCTGTTCCACTCAAATCTTGTTTCATTTCCATGGCCTGCCGTGTGGTTTCTCCCCCAACACCTAATTCTTGTCCCATTCATTAGAGTCACAAATTGGTTCTCTGCAAGCCTAATCTACTAATGTGGTGTAGGCCTTCTTTGCATCCTCTTCCCTTTTTATCTTTCTGGGCCATGCGGTCTTCCCCCACTTTCTCTATGTTCTCCTCTTCACGCATGCTCTCTTCTTCTCACATGAATTGATTACGCTTGCCTCGGTCGCAACTTTACCCGTCTTATTTTTTCGCCCAGACCAAATCATGACCGTTTTTCGTAGTTTTAAAATTTTCGCTTGCTCAACTTCGAATTTCAATGGTATGGCTTCGAAAGAGACATATATGTTAACAAGAAGTACCCAAAAACTATCGCAAAGTTTTCCATCGTATCCAACTTTTTTGGGCCATTAGCCACCTAGAATTCTCTTTTTCAAAAATTCATTTTGATGTCCTATTCGCTCGTCATAGTGCAATTTGATATGAGCGCGAACTCTTGCAAGGCAAAACATGAAACAAACATTCACTCCTTTCTTTAGCGCTATTTTCATCTTCACTTCTCTCGCAATCGATACGCGCTTAGAAGATTTCCCCTTTTTTGTGTCCCTCTTCACAACCAAAGGTCCCTAATGGAATGGGATTTCCGCAATTCTTCACGCTTGTCCGACTCCATTAGCAACTAACTTTTTGTTATATTGGCATTGATTTTTTACTGGTCTAGTTTCTAGATTTCATAGATTCTAAGTTCCTTTTTTCAGATGAGCACTCCGTCGGAAGGAACGGAGATACGACAACGAAGCCTAGCAGATGAGTTGAATATCAAGTCGAAAAAGCAGACTAATGGTGGGTCTTTCTCTTATATGGTTTTTGTACATCTTGAAGTTAGAAGATAGATTTTTGCTTCAAATTATAATGTTGCATTGTTAAATTGTATCTATTTTTAGCCGATCTTCGAGCCACATCCGATGAAAGTGATTTGGATCAATTTTTCAAAGACGAGGACGGGTAGGTTGTCCATTTTCTTTGTGGTTACAGCTTAATGCTTAATCTCTATTTTTTCTAGCGACGCTCAAGTAACTAAAAATGGTGCCGGGTTAGTTTAAATTCGTCGTTGAGAAAATTAAGAATTTTGGTTTTCGTTTCACAGAATCTCTTGTTTTCACGAAAAGCACTACTCATTTCGAATCAAAACTCTAAACTTGTTGTCATGTGTAGAGGGCATGGTGTGTTGACAATGTGGTCATTTAGTTATCTATTTTTGGTTGTATTTATTTCATTACTTTTATTTAGAATTGGTGAGCGCACAAAGATGTTACCACAAGGAAGTGATCACATGGGATCCTTGATCGACCCTCTACTACAACATTTAGACCCAAGGTAAGATGGTTTCTACGAGTTATTGAAAGGAAAATATTGATCGCGCCATGGATTTGATTTGATTGTTTTAGATGGCGAAACTGGGTTGTTCGAGGAGTGTTCACCATTGTCATGATCTCGCTTTTCACTTTAATCGTTAGTAGAGGACCAACGTGGCTAATGTTTCTGGTTTGTTACCGTTTATGAATTTAAAAAAATGGACCAACATCCAGGTACTGGGTATTCAATTTAAATGTTTCCACGAGATCATTTCGATCGGGCTTGCTGTGTATCGACTTTATGATTTCCCAATGTTTAGGACGCTTTCATGGTTGGTTTGATCGTTTTTAAAATCTTCATCCTCTTTAGGTGGTTTCTCATTTCATCGAATTACTTTTTCTTCGGCGAGTCATTGATCGAATATTTCAGCATATTATTACGGCGAGATGTAACTTTTGAATAAATTACACGAACTAATTAAACTTTAGAATTTCCTACACTTTCTGGTTGTGCCAACGTATCATCGATTGATTAGCTTCATGTTTTATTGTGGTGGATTCGTATGGTTTGTGTTGACTCTTCAGAAAGGCTATTACATGCGTCAATTCAGCTTGGTAAGCTTAGGTTTTTTGTTCTTCAAGTTTTTCTCTTTCAAAAACAAAAACTTATTTTTAGTTTGCTTGGACACATGTTTGTTTGCTACTCGTTGTCTCGCAGTCGTTTTTGATTATTCAAAACATTTTCCAAGGAATTATATGGTATTTTTAAAAAGAGATTTATAACTGTTTTTTAGGTTTTTGGTTCCGGTGGCGTTGGTTATTTGCTGTGATGTAATGTCATACATGTTCGGCTTCTTTTGGGGAAAGACGCCATTGATCAAGGTAGATCGATGTTTTTTGTCTTTGAAAAATTGCTTTTAGTTGAGTCCGAAGAAGACATGGGAAGGCTTTATTGGCGGAGCTATCAGCACAATCATCTTTGGCCTGCTTGTAAGATGCGCATTTATACTTAACCAAAATCTCCGTTTAGCTCTCATACGCTATGCTCCACTCTCCATTTATGGTTTGCCCTGTCGGTGAATACACAGAGGAGAGCTCCAATTGCACGGTGAGTTAAAATATAATTTTCTTTCTGACTACCTTATTGATCTTCTAGATTCCTCCTCCGTTCCAATTGTATGAAGCCGAACTTCCAAGACCACTTCCATGGCTGATGAGGCTTCTACGGTAAGTTTTTTTTAATTTTAATCAGTTTATTATCATTTGAGGCGGCCAACAACATTTGAATACTATCCGTTTTTGTTCCACTCAATATGGATGTCCTTGTTCGCTTCTCTGTTGGGTCCATTCGGAGGATTCTTCGCTTCCGGTTTCAAGAGGGCTTTCAAGATCAAGGTAATTTCTAATACTTCGCGATTATAACTTCAACCATTTTAAGGACTTTGGAGATGTGATCCCTGGTCATGGTGGATTGATGGACCGGTTTGATTGTCAACTATTGATGGGAACTTTTGTCAATGTCTACATTCACACATTTATTCGGTAACTTTTAAACTTGTTTCCATTTCTAAATTAATTTTCAGAGTGCCCAATCCAGGAAAGTTGCTGCAGCACATTTTCTTGCTTCCAAGCGAGGATCAGCTAAGCATCTACCACGCCCTGCAGCAAAGGCTACAGTCTGCCGAACTTTTATAACTTTCGATTGTTTTTTTTTTCTAAATCATCTTAAGCGTTTGTTCAAGCTAGTCTTTTTAGATAAATTTTGAAAACAATTCTATTGTAAGCCCATTGAGCTTGATTTCTTTTTACCCTTTTTTATAACACTTGTTTCTATCGAATCTGCTCTATTAACAATGGTCTCATTTAGTGTGTGGTTAGTCAAAAATTGAGTAATTCTTCCATCTTTTTTCTCTTATGATGAAGTTCATCGTTTTTCTTTGTTTTGTTAAGTGTACATAACTGTAACAAAATTTTGGAGTTGAAATATAAATTTTCTATGAGATCTTGTTCGCAAATGGCAAAAATATGGAAAGATTGAGGGCATCGTCCAGTTTTTTGTGTGGTAGAAGCTACTTAGATCTTACTTCAAGATTTATCTTGTGTCGTGATGATATCAAAAAAATTTCCCAAATTATGGATTTTTGTTTAGACGACCCTGATCAATTAGGCCGAAAATGGACGAACTGGTGGCTTATAAAGAACAGGTAATATTAGTGATCGATTAAGCTTAATAAACAGCTTTTATATCTCATAGCTAGTGTCAAAACAATACGATTTTATGAATTTAGTTAGCGACTCTTCGTGCCACATTGGAGTCACTTGGTGATGGTGATGACGCGATACGACAAGAGCTTGAAACGGTAAAAGATTACCGAAAACATTTATTAGTTATAACTTTTTAGACTGCGATCGATCTCGAGGAGTTGATCGCGCTGATGGAATCAGAAGGAATAAGCGAAACACAAGAGGCTGAAGATGCGGCAGTGTCCGGATTTTTCGAAGAGCTCCTCGGGCAGCGCTGTTTGGCTCCGTTTTCAAAGTAAGTAAGCTATATAAAGTTTTTTTTTCCCGTCATTGAGGAGAATTTAGACTTTCAATGATACTTTTGTTGTCGAACAAGAAAAGTACCCCAAGTCTTGTCCTAAATGTTAGTAGTACTTTCACTATTTATCTTTTCTTTTTAGGAATTTGCAAATATCCCTCCATGCGGCGATAATTTTCGAATGTGATCCGCCGAAAGAGGGAGACGATGATTTCATTGTATGTTTTCAATCAGTCAATATTTAGAAGAATTATCGTGTTCAGGTACGAGTGCTTTACTCTCATCCCCTAACTTCAGCTATGAAACCGTGTAAAAATTTTCTAAAAGGTTAGCCATTTTTAAGTAGAGTTCTACAATTGGTTTTAGGGCACTGCAATTTCGGAAAATCTTGTCGCTTTTCACACGGAGAACCGGTATTATTTGGCGCTTTAGAAGAGTACGAGGATCCTGATTTTAGGTTTTCTCTATAAATTATTTGATGTTTTAATTTATATTTTAGTGGAGTTCAAGTGGACAGTCTCATTCTTGCGAGCAACGATGATTTATGGGAGGTTGCCCGAATTGTGGATATCGACAGGAAACATTCGTGAGTTTACACTTTAGTAGATTACAAATTAGATTTATTGTATTTAAGAGCAATTTTGTTTTCCAGGGAAATGGCTGTGAAGATTTTGCAAACGGGCAAAGATGTTCGTGTACTTTTCTCACAGGCAGTACCGCTTCATCCATCGGAAGTCAATACAGGTTAGTATTTTGCTGGGCAAAATCGAATAAATTTATATGTTGATCGTTTTAATAGTGCTTAAAATTACATTTAAATCAATTGAAATTTAAATTGTTAAATTTACGTTTAGTTTCATCGGATGAATCGCACGCAATCGAGCCTCCTTCCGGTGATTTCGATGGGTCTAATCAATACACGGAATTAAAGGTTGAAACTTTGATACTTTGTACTTCCGAGTACTGGGTATTAAACATTAACCGACTGTCAACATCATTTTAGGCTCAAAAATATGGCAACGTCAGTGTGGGTGAGCTCGGTGATTGGCACGGCGGAGGATTTGGATTGAAATTAATGCAAAAGATGGGCTATAAGTGAGTTCTTTTACTTTTTCTATATTTTTGTTGTATCTAAATCATCTAATGTTATTAATATTTAGATTGGGTGAAGGCCTTGGAAAGAAAAACGATGGCATTGTGCACGCGATTCAAGCGGCCGTTCTACCAAAACGTAAGCTTTATAAAGATGTTGGACTCAAAAACTAATTTAGATAAATCGCTTGACTATGTGATGGAGAATAAAAAGAAAATTCGGAAAATCGACGGGAAAACTGCAATGAAAGAGAGGATATCGAAGCAACAACAAAATGTTTCGTGGGTTTTGTTGTATGATTGATTATAAGTTGGTTGTAAATAAATGATTTTTAGCGGAATTGAGGCCGACATTTTTGCGTTCATCAATCGACAATTCGAGACACCGAGAAACGAGGAGAAAGATGACGGGAAAATAATGGCGGTGAATTTTTACTTGATCATGGATAACTTTGACAGGCTTTTATAATTTTCAATTTTTAGAAAGAACGGCAGCAATTGAGCGAGGCTTCCGAGAAATCACTAGTGGCAACCGTGTTCGACAACGAAAAGAAAATCAAGGAGCTCCGATCGAAGAGAGCCAAACTTGAACAGGTCTTTTCTTATCTTATCTTTTCAAATTTTCATTTTTTCAGGGTTTGATACGAAACAAGGGTGATAAAAGACGTCGGAAAGACTGCAAACAGCTTTGGATCAGGTAAAAGATATTGATGATTAACTATTAAATAAAGTTCTATATTTTAAAAATTCAACCGTTTAGTTTTTCATTTCATTTAGGTATGTCGTGAGATACAAAAAGCCGAGGGCCAACAAACACGGGTGCAAAGCGAGCGGGATGCTCGACAAAGGAAGAAAGATTTATTCTAAGCATTTTGATTGTATTTTCGTATGTTTTTGTGCTTTTTTTAATTTATTTGGAGGTGGTCATAATAAAGAAAGAAGTCGAGACAATTTTTGCAAAAATGGTATGAATTTTAGACAGCTCTGGCACTTTGAGCACCCTTAAAATTGTACTTGTAAGCTGGCGGAAAGACTCAAATCAGTTTTGAACTCGGCAACGATTCTCAACTCAACTCTAGTGTCTAGTCTCGATTTGCCATGAAAAATCTTGCATCATTTCCCTCAAATCGGATGAAAAATAAAAATCACAATAAAGACGGGCGCCTATGGGGGGAGAAAGGCGTGAAAAGGTGAGGAAATTCGATGAACAAACAGAATGGGTAAAAGAGATCTCAATTGCTTTTTATGAAAGGGTCAGGGTTGCTGTGACCAATTCATTTTTGAGGATGAGTAACCTTTGGCCAAAAAAAACAAGACTGAGAAAGAGGGAAAGGATTATATTCCAATTGCACCCAATGAAAACAACAAATAGATGATTGGGCGGAAGACTCTTCGCCCGCCTTGAAACCGTCCCTAGAAAAATGGAGGAAATGAGGGCCTGTGAGGACAATCATCAAGCATTATTGCAACAGGAGCTCGATTCGCTGCTTGCCGCGCTGTCAGGTGGGTTTGAATCGATAATCATTCCAAGAATGGCATGCCCATAGACATTTTCTTAAACGTATCACTTTTTTCAAAAAACTATCGTAACCTTGTATCGAAACTGTCTACTTTTAGCTTGATTCTTTGAGGGTAAACGATCGATTTTCCAATCGGACCCTAATAGTAAGCTAGATCATGTCATAAGCCAGATCCAGATCTGGCTTAGATAATGTCATAAACTAGATCCAGATCTGGCTTAGATAATGTCATAAACCAGATCCAGATCGACGGGTTCAAGTGTTGTGAGTCAGGCAAATCCAGTCCTGACTTGGTTCTGTCGTGATTTGAGCCAGAAAAATCACTCTCGGAATAACGCTGACCAAAATGATCCAAAAAGTAGATGGGTTTGGGGGAAAATGGAGGCAAGTTTACTCTAGTTTTCGAGAAGAAAAAAAAACACTCTAGCTCTAGATCCACACATGGAAAATGAAAATGCTTCGATATATTCTCATTGTTAGATATGGGCCGATCACTTCTACCCGATGAACGCCTTCGACGAGCCGTTCACCTCAAGAATCGTTTAATCGTCAATCTGCTCGGAGAGTTCTTCGGCACTTTTGTCTTCATCGTAAAACCGGCTTTTCAGAGAAAGAAACAGGAAACTTTTAGTTCATCGGTCTCTGTGTCTCGATGCAGTATGTATTGGGAAGACAGGTAGAAAAACTCTAACACCAGAAAAGAGTGACCCGTTCAGGCATTGAGCACCTTCATTCAAGTGAACTTCGGCTGGGGATTAGCGCTGGGATTTTGCGTCTATCTACTCACCGGGAGCTCAGGTTGCTGAAGAAAGCTTGCTTTGACTAGCGATTGAAGATCTAAAGATGAATTCGTTTAAACCACTTCAGGCGGTCACCTCAATCCAGCGGTTTCCTTCTGTTTCTTCACGCTCGGTCGTCTCCCTTTTCATCATCTCGTTCTCTACACTGTTGTCCAAACGATTGGCGCTTTTCTCTCAGCTTTTTGTGCCTATTTCTACTATTTTGGTCAGTTTTTGGAGAAATTTAGATGCTTGCTCCAACTTTTTAGTTAGAGTATTCATTGTTAGGCTTTTTAGTTAGCTAAATGATACCACTGCTTGGATTAAAAGGCAACTATACAACAAAAGAGCTTCACTCTCTACCATAAATACTCTAATAGAACGCTACCTCCTCGTACAGTCGTGTAGTCTAACTAATTTAATTTTTAATTTTTAGAAAATCCATTTTTTTTTCTCAGCTCCTAGATTTTTCCCAACTACACTTTTGGTATAAAATACTAGACTACAAGGGCTATCATTTGACACTCAAGTGCACACTGTAGCATAAAGCAGCGCGGAGGATGGCACGTTCAAAGTTAGACTACGCGATTGTACGCCTGTCATTATGGGAATGGCGTTCTATTGTATTTGTGGTAGTTATCGACTCAAATCTTTAGACCAATTCGAGAAATTCGCGGGCGGTGAACGCTCGGTGACAGGTCCATTTGCCACAGCCGGTGCTTTCACATCGTTCCCCGATGCTCACGTCTCTCATGTCACGTGTTTCGTTGATCAAGTGAGAAAAATGAAAAGTTCTTGTCATTGGTCCAGTAATGACACAAGCTTTACTCTTTATCTTTAAGATCTCTAAGATCTGATCTCTAAGATCTGATCTCTAAGAACTGATCTCTAAGATCTGATCTCTAATTGCAAGTTGAGTTGAGTAAAGCTACAATAAATCAATACCATAAAACAATAAATCAATAATTAAATAAATCAATAAAACAATAAATCAATAAATTAATAAATAAATCAATGCCATAAAACAATAAATAAATAAATAAATAAAACAATCAATGCTCGCTTAAATCTCTTTCAGATTGTTGGAACCGCGTGTCTAACATTTTTCATCACCGTTTTTACCGATAAGAGAAATAAGGTGAAGCAAGAAATTCATTCTCAAACGAAAACTTTGATTTTTCAGATTCCGAGTGGAATCGTCGCCTTATTGGTGGGGTTGACGCTCTTTTTGATAGGTCGGTTTGGTAGGAAGAGCTTTCAAGAATAGATTGAATCAAAAAATCTCCAAATCCGGAAACTTTCCAGTTGTATTTATTCAGGAATACCCAGAAAGTACAAAATCGAATAACCTCAAAATGCTTAGGTTGTGCTTTTGCCCTGAATCTTGGCTATCCGATCAATCCGGCCAGGGATTTCGGTCCTCGTCTGTTCGCGTGTCTCGTCTACGGACGCGAAGTTTTCTCGTTTGTTTCAGAGATAAAATTTATGCTTCTATCCCAGAATCGAGTCTTTTAGCTCTATCGTCAAATTTTAGCGATTTATTCAAATAGAAGCGCATTCGCTTCTATCAGCGACCCCTTAAGCCCCGCCCACTCATGTTAGGAGAAAAAGTTGCACGAAAAATTCAATTTTTAATCTATGACAATTTTTAATCCTCTAATGATGCTTCTATTAGAATAAATACGGCAATTCAAATTCCAAGATGTCAATAAAATGATTCGCGCTTGCGATTCGTTTTGATCTAAAGAATTGAAGGATTCGATTTGTTTCAAGGGATTCGAGTTTTTCACACGTTGACGACATTGTCACCTGATGCTGTCTGACACATATTCGTTCGCCTGGGACATTGTCACCTGATGTCAGGTGACATTTTTTGTCGAAAAAAAACAACGTTGTCCCATGCGATTGTTTGTGCAAAAACGCCATTGTCGTCAACGTGTTAAAAAGACCCAAGTCTGAGATAAATATAATATTAGTGCAAAGTTAAAAGAGTTGTGATTGAGTGATTGGCTATTTCAGATACAGCTCGTATTACTTCTGGATCCCGATGGTGGCCCCGTTCATTGGAGGTCCGTTGGGTGGATGGCTGTATCATATATTCGTTGGTGAGTTGTGAAAGCAGGCAAAACATCGTCTAAATGTATATTTTGTGCTCAAATCTGTAAGCGCACCTTTTCTGGCGTGCTGGATCCCTCATTTTCCTCGCTTTCTCGCCAAATAGTAAGCACATCCTTTCTGGTGCCTAAATTCCTGATTTTGAGAAATCGAGTGCACCAGAAAAGGTGGGTTTTAAAGTTTAGAGCACAAAGTACACAAAGAAGCAAAAGTCTAATGTGCAAGCTGAACCCTTAAACTAAACAAAGTCTCAATTCAAAGGTGTTCACATTCCGTACGACATCGACGATGAGGATCGACCAGAAACGGCCGCCGTTTAGCTTATTCAATTCTAATTTGTAAATAAATTCATTGCTCTTTTGATTTTCACAAAAAAAAACCATTTAGAAAAATTGATCTTTGAGGCGCTTTGAAAAAATGGAAGCAAATTCCGCAGATAAGATAAATCATCCTTTGAATTGAAGAAGAATTTGTGGGTTTTTTTTTTCCGCAGTTCCGTTCAAAGGCATGGCAATTCGATTTTTGACCGAATTCTTGGGTTCAGTTTTATTAATTTTGGAAATTTTTAAATTCCTTATTCATATTTCTCAATTGTTCTTTTACAGCATTGAGACTGGATTCTAGAAAATCCTCAGCTTTGTCCTAAAGAGGGCTAATTTTGCTTGAAAAAAAGGAGCTAATTTTTCAAATTTCTCAAGGAATCATTGGACGTTTCGTAGAGATCATTGAACGATTATTTGCCACATTTTCCAAGCCAGACTGGTCCCTTATTCTGGGGTCAGATTCAAAGCACATTAGTAGTAGTGACCAGAAAAAGTAGTGGTTTTTGTGGCGCGAAAAATGCTGAATTTTGTGTTTCCACTTAAAAGTCTTCATTTCATTGCGCCTTTTCCGCTCCAAATCACAAAATATCTTTTTGCGCACTTTCTCGCAGGTAAGGTAAGGTTTATTGGTTAGCAGAAAAAAATGAAACATACACTTTAATCACGTAAAAAGTGAGTAACATTTGCCACGGGACAAGGAATAACAATCTGAACGAGCAACAATATTAGTACAGCGAGAGATAAAACAATCCAAGAAAACAAAATTTCAATCGCCTTCCTTGTCTTACTGAATTTTTGTGGTTCGTCCTTGTGCCCCGATTGAGTCGTGAATGTAGGGCTCCATCGCGGCCAGCGAATTCCAACGACCTTGGCGACGAAGAGCTTCGAGCGATTTGCCTTGGCGGCTTCCGTTGTCACTCCTGCCCTAAGTGAGTGCAACGTTTTTCCTCGAAGTCCCAGCATGACGCTCTTTAATGTGCTTGGCGGCGGGCCTGGGGTTGAGAGAAGTGTTCTTGACGTGACCCGGAAACATGTAGTCCTCTTTCCCCTTCTTAGTGGTCTTTCAGCGATTCCAGAGTTTTTCAACTTGATCTTCGTTTTCGAACGAGATGATTGTGTTTCGACCCTTGGGCAGTTGCGTTCCGATAATTCTATCACCGCCAGCTTCCACCACTCAGCAGCATCGACCATCGCAAAGGCCTTGGGGCGATGAGCAGAGCATTCCGATCGACGGGGAGTTTCTTTGTTTGGTCGTTTCTCGATCAGCTCCAAGAGTTTGTTGTTCAGCTCCACTTGGATGGCAAATGATCGTTTTGTGAGAGTCGGTGGCGGCTTTGCAACGGGCTTCAGTCTTGCCGACAGCTTCTCCAAAAGATGTGCTTCCAACACTTCGAGTTATGTTTTCTCCCCGTGACTCCCCGACATGCTCACCTAAACAAAAGAATTACAGCAGAATCCCGAAGACAACAACCTAAAAGAAAGAGAACAGACTAGTAAAATCTGCAAAACGATTAAACCAGAATGAAATTTTCCCTCCAAAACTCTCTTTAAATAGTCGAAAAGAGCGGGTTTTAGGAAACGACTACGCGACTGTACGCCGAAAATGCCGTCGTCGCGAATGAATTAAAGGTTAAAGGTTCCTTTCGCGAACCCATTCGCGATGGGGGCATTTTCGGCGTACAGTCGCGTAGTCGTTTGCTAAAACGCGCTCTTTTTAAGTATTTAAAGTTTTGGAGGGAAACTTCTGTGGAAAACCAACTTAAGACCGCACAATAGATATTCAAAGCTGTGCTAGTTTGAAGCCTCACTGATTTCCAGTTGATGTGTTTAGCTGTTTCGTTAGAAAAAACGGCTTAAGGAAACGATTTTAGTCGTGGATCGATTCCTTGAATCTTTACCTCCAGACTATTGTTCATAAATTTCTTTACCCTGACTTTGAAATTTGAAATTGTTTCATTTTCTGTTCTCATCAACCTCAAAGGTGTTCAAGAAAAAGTTTTGATTCAGTTTTGATTCAGTTTTGATTCAGTTTTGATCTCGATCGTCGGGAGAAGAGTCAACTTCACAGATCAAATTTTTCACAGCAGAAGAAGAAGAAGAAGAAGAAGGAAGAAAAATCTGATCGGATTTGTGAATAGAAGAAAAGAAATCAAGTGTCATCAAGGAAAATATCTAGAAAAGAGGAAAAGAAAAGAATAAAGTGGGAAAATAAATAGATTATTAAGAAAAGCTGCGATCACCGAACGTTTTTGGGTAAAGTCCAAAAAGTTCTGAAAATCCCAATCATTTGACTTGGAAAAAGCTATAAAATTTTCTGAATTCAATATATTTCTATTGTACTTTGAATTGTACTTGCTTCAGTTGTACCAATTTCATTCTATCACCAAGAGTATTCTATTCTATTCGGTTCAATTACCTAAGTTTATTTTAAAGAGTACGAAACCGGTTTAATTACCCAACTCTGCACTATTCAGAAAGAGTTTAAAACTTTATTCGAACTTTATTCGAACTTTATTTACTTTAGCACCTATTTGTGCTATATCTATTATTCTATATTCTGATTCAAAAATGAAATTGTATCCGGAAGATCGTTTCCGCGAAGCCATTCAAATCAAGAATCGCCTCATCGTCAATTTGTTGGCCGAATTCACCGGGATGTTCGTCTTTTTGGTGGGTTTAGCTTTAGGTTTAGATAGAGAAACTTCAGAAAAAGGTTCAATCTTTATATTATCACAAAAATCGTTATTGTTAGGACTACTGCAAGAAGTAAATGTGCTAGCAAAGAAAGGTTTTGGTTTGTCTTTTGGGTTAGTCCGTTGTCTGACCAAGCCTGGCTTGCCTTTGATTCACTGCAAGCCAGTGGCCAGGCCTTGTTTCTAGCCCATAAAGACCCGGTTAGAACAACTTCTTGCAAACTTCAATCTCTTCATTTCAGTTTATCGGCTTATGCATCTCGATGCAGTTCTTCTTGGGTGAAGGGGTGAGTTTTGATTGATTTGATTGATTGATTTGATTGATTGATTTGATTGATTCATTTGATTGATTCATTTGATTGATTCATTTGATTGATTCATTTGATTGATTGATTTGATTGATTCATTTGATTGATTGATTTGATTGATTCATTTGATTGATTCATTTGATTGATTCATTTGATTGATTCATTTGATTGATTCATTTGATTGATTGATTTGATTGATTCATTTGATTGATTCATTTGATTGATTGATTTGATTGATTCATTTGATTGATTGATTTGATTGATTGATTTGATTGATTCATTTGATTGATTCATTTGATTGATTCATTTGATTGATTGATTTGATTGATTAAATCTATATTTATTTCCAGTTGACCACCTTCATTCACATCAATCTCGGTTGGGGATTCGCGCTCACATTTTGCGCGCATTTTCTCGGTGGAACCTCAGGTGAGTTAGATGAATATAAAAGAGAAAAACTAGGAAATCAGAAATCAAAGTCTTCAAGAATCAAAGTCTTTTATGTAATTGTATCTAAATTACTAGGAATCGAGATATGGAAGAAAATAGAAGATTCCCCAAACCCTGATAGCATATACTAGTTTGGGGTATACTAGTACACCCTATACTTTAGATAATGAACTTTAACACGCATTTCTTCTATCGGTAAGTCTACAAAACAAATTCTACTTTTCTTTAGTCAAATTTGATGAAGATTTTAATAAAAGCAATCATGAGTTGATTGGGTTTCTATGCCTAAAGTTATGGAGCATTTAACTGGATCGACTCTTCCAAGTAGATAGTCTGACTTTGATACAGATTTTCTCTTATGTTTTTACACTAAGGTGTATTAAATAACTTGTGGATTTCTACAACGAAATTTCATAAGGAACATTTTAAAACCAACCACAGAGATTCAGAGATTTCTCTGACCCCTTTTAGTCCTAAAGGCTTTAGTATATCTAAATATCTAAATGATTGAAGGTGGTCATCTGAACCCGGCAATCTCTCTTCTCTTGGCGACATTTGGTCGTATCCCGTTTCAACATGTTCCCCTTTACGCAATCGTTCACACAGCAGCTGGCTTTTGTGCCGCTTTCTCGTCATATTACTTTTATCTTGGTGAGTTCTAAAATTGAATTTAAAAAAAAAACCCACCATAATCCATCTATCTGTTTAGATCAATTCGATCACTTTTCCGGCTCATTAAGGCAAATCGATGGTCCAAATGGGACTGGATTGGCGTTTTGTTCTTTCCCACAGCCACACGTTACACATATCACAGCTTTTGTCGATCAGGTAAAGTTATTTAAATTGGTTACTGATTACTAACGAAATAAAGAAGTATTTAATCAATGAATCAATGAATTGTAGTGAGACTTTACGGTATAAAAACAGAAAGAAAAAAAAAACAGATTGTTGGCACGGCTTGTTTGACGTTTTTTGTCGCCATGTTGATGGATCGACGGAATAAAGTTTGAAGAAAAACCTTGAATAATATAGAAGTTTTTTTTTTAGATTCCCGTTTATCTTCATCCATTATATGTTGGCTTTGTGCTGTTCATGATTGGTAATAAAGATCTAAAGGAATTGAAAAGTAGATTTCCGGAGAGGGGATTAAACCCTCGACCTTTTGCTTTTGCTCTAAGCTATCCGGTATCTTAACTTGCCAAGAGAAAGAAGAAAGAAAGAAAAAGGATAAAGCCGGGTTAGAAATCTGTGGGAAATCTTGAAAAGAATTCCATAGTAAGCCGTAGTTTGAAGTTAGCTACTAAGTAAGAGTGGTCTCTAATAGTGGTGCACCGCGACGAGTCGAGTTGGTCACTATTTTACGGTTTCCAAGTTCTTCACAGAAGCTCAACACTCTAATCCTCCACAAGATCTCATCGTCAGCTACATTTTTCGACCCCGCATCAATAGGTTCTGATAAGCGGTTCTCGAGATTTCGAGGAATTTAGGCAACCCGTGATTAACCCGGTCAAGCTGAGTTAATCACGATTTTACGGTTTCCAAGTTCTTCACAGAAGCTCAACACTCAAATCCCCCACAAGATCTCATCGTCAGCTACATTTTCCGACCCCACATCGATAGGTTCTGATAAGCGGCTTTTGAGATTTCGAGTAATTTAGGCAACGCTTAGGTTGCACTATTATTAGAGAAAATACGGTATTTTTTTGACTTTTTGAATGAATAAATATAGAAAATAAATTCATTTAAATAGTTAAAGCTATTAATTAAATGAATCTTTTTATTTCTAGGTTGTGGTTTTGCTTTAAATGTTGGCTATCCGATCAATCCGGCTAGAGATTTGGGGCCTCGTTTGTTCGCTTATTTACTCTATGGATCCGAGGTTTTCTCGTGAGTTTTCTTTTTTGTAAATTCTCGTTTTTCTATTATAAGATCGTCTCTAAGAGAAAAAAAATATAAAAACGGTTTTTATAACGGCATTTATTTACAAAAATGTACTTTTAAGCTATCACAACTACTATTTCTGGATTCCGATTATTGCGCCGTTCATCGGATCACCATTCGGAGGATGGGTGTATCATTTGCTAATTGGTAATCGTTTTTTTTAAAAATCTAAATTCTAATCAAAAAGATAGTAATTCAGATAGTAATTCTTTACTTGGATTGGAAAAAAAGAACGAATAATCTAGCCGCGATTGAACTCTTGATCTCTAGACTAAGATCTTAGCCAGCTAAGGCTCTTAGCCAGCATGGGTATCTTTTATACAATTTCAAACATCGTTTCAGGTGCCCACATCCCAGACGATTACGATCACGACATAAACATTCCCGAAAAGTTGGAAAAACATTGATAATTTATATGTTGTAGTCGATTATGAATGAGTGGGTCTAGTCTAGGTCTAGGTCTAGGTCTAGACGCGTCCAACCATCAATTGTTTAGTATCATTCAACGCAGAAACATTGATAATTATGTTAAATTTTTTAAATTAGAAAGATTGGATAAAAAGAAAAAAATTACGGAACTTCAAAGTTGTTTTCTCTCGAACAAACAGTTGTTTTGCTCTAATTTTTTTCTTTTTACTCAAATTTTTTAAATTAGAAAGATTAACATAATTATCAATGTTTCTGCGTTGAATGATACCAAACACTTGATGGTTGGACGCGTCTAGACCCAGAAACAAAGCAAAACAAAGAACCAAAAAAAAGAACAAAAACAAAAAAAAAAAAAAAAAACAAAAAAAAAAAACCTAGACCTAGACCTAGACCTAGATCTAGACCTAGACTAGACCCACGCATTCATAATCGGCTACAACATTTATAAGCTATGCATAGTATTCAACATTAAAACGATCCTATTAAGCAACTAATAGACAAAACGGTTATAGAAATGGCTTTACGGTTTAAATCCAATCTTGATAATACAATATCTCTTTTGTACATATTTTGGCACACTTATGCAAATTTTCTAATAGTATTCGCATTAAAAATTAATTCCCAAAACAATAGTTGCTGTTCTCTCCTTTTCGAACGATGACAGACCTTTGAAGGCATCTATCTCGGTGTTTTTTTGGTGTAAATTTGAAATGTTTAGAGTCATTTGATAGAAAAAAAATGATTATCTATTGAATAAACTTAAAGAAATTGCATTTAAAAGTAAACAGATTGAGATAGAGGACTTTAAAGACATTTCAAAGATATTAGAAGATCAAAGTTAGCATCAAATGGCGTTAAGAATCGATGAACGAGAATTGAAATTTGTGAAGATTTTATTTTATTGTTTGTGGCTTCTGAAATTTGTGAAGATTTTATTGTTTGTGGCATTTTGTGATTCATTTTTTGAAGCTGATTTGAAAAGGTTTTTATTTGCGAAACGGCTAAGAAGTTTATCAGATAAAAGTGAAAAAGAAGGAAAAGAAGGAAAAGAAGAAAAGAAGAAAAGAAGAAAAGAAGAAAAGAAGGAAAAGAAGAAAAGAAGAAAAGAATGAAAAGTTCTATTAGAAAACATTGAAATAAAAAGAGGGAAAGTTTTTAGTTAAAAAAGTTTTGAAGAAGTTCTTGATCAACTTGATACGGGACAGTTACCTCAAGCCCGGAGACGGTCTTTTGAGTTCTGAAAATGAAAAATAAAACTCCTTTAGGGTTCCTTTATAGTTCCTATTTAGTTCCTTTAAAGCTCCTCTAAAGCTCCTTTATAGTTCCTTTAAAGCTCCTTTATAGTTCCTATTTAGCTCCTTTAAAGCTCCTTTAAAGCTCCTTTATAGTTCCTATTTAGTTCCTTTAAAGCTAAAATAAAACTAACAAATTTAGATTTAGACTTATTTAGGTAAAAATTTGAAATGTAACAATGGTGATTGTCAGCTTTTTCAATACTTGCTTTGCTTTGCTTTCAATTGCTTAAAGCAAGCAAGCTTAACTTTGACATCAATAAAGCCTCTTTTTCTTGAGAAAAGCATCTTTCTTTTTAAATCTAAACACTTAAACAGTTAACAATATTTTTTGTTTCACCTGATAATGGCTTCTTTTGCTTTATCATTCCCTGACCAACTCCTCCTTGCCACTCCATTTGATACATCCCATGAGAGCATCGAACGAGCACGACGATCCGTTTCCTGAAATGCTTCAATTTGTATACTTTTGCATTAAAAAAAATAATTTATACACACAAATAATGTCGTACAAACAATACAAAAGCAATAACCTTTAAACCCTAAATGTAGGGAAGAAAAAAAGATGGAAAAAAACCAATAATCTAGCCAATATGGAACCCTTGACCTCTCAACTAAGATACAGAGCTCTTAGTCTGTCGGCTATGACAGGCGCTCACTGGTAATCACTGGTAAACGATCAAGTAAATGTGTTTGGAAAGTTTATAAGTAGTAATAGGGTTAAAGTAGTCTAGCAGAATTTTAACACAAAAGTTTACCAGTTTAGAGTATTAAAATGAATTAAAGTAGTGGATACTATAGTTGTTCTATAAAAGTTTTTTTTTACCAGATCTCCATCTAGCACCATTCCGAATCCACCATTTATCACATCGCCCCATCCGACACCGCCTCCATTGTGCAGAGAGATCCACGTGGCTCCTCTAAAACTTTTTGAGTCAATAAAGTAACCTAAGAAAGCAGATCGTTTATTGAAAATTAAATCTAAATCTCAAATTCTCAATTCCCTTACCTCATCGCGTCCCCAATCGCATTTTGCACGGCCATATCAGCAGTGAAAGCGCTTCCATCAGTGATGTTTGCGGTTTCTCTAAATTTCAATTCAATTTAAAAAGAAAATCTAATATCTACATCTTAATCTACATCTATCTACATCTAAATCTACATCTATCTACATCTAAATCTACATCTAATATCTACATCTATCTACATCTAAAACTACATCTATCTAAATCTACATCTAAATCTACATCTAAATCTACATCTATCTACATCATTTTGCATAGTATTTTACGATATTTTGCATTACAAACCTGAACGGAGAATCGGTACCCGATACATCATGGTGATCTCTCGAAATCACGATTGGGGCCTAAATTTTTAAACTTTAATATATTTGCATATATCTTTTTAAGGTATACTTTAATGTATATAGAATCCTTCTGAATTTAGTAGTGAATTAAGCATCCTAACAAAACTCGGAAGCATTAGACGTAGTTTTAAAAAAACCGCGTCAGGTAGAAAGCTTATAAAACTTGTAAGCACAAAGTATTGATCCATATGAAATTTCTAGACATCTTCTAACTTCTAGGCACTTAAAAGATAAAGAACTTGCCGTAATTCTCTTGTTTCTGACAGCTTCATTGAAAGCGAGAGCGATCGCGGTACGGCCGGCTTGATCCGAGTACAAGATGCGAGCCTGAAATGAGAAAATGACAAGAAATCGAAGTATGAGGCTAAAATTCACACTAGACTTTACTAGATTCACCAAAATCTACTAGTTTCACGACAAAATTGTTAATTCTAGCATAGTCTGAATAGGATTGGTCAATTTTAAGTCCAATCCTGCTATCCAACTCATCAGTTGTAATTCACCTGTGTTCCCACCACCAATTTGTGCTCATCCGCTTCGACAATCCATTTCCGATTGTCAACATACTGTTGCTTTACCCATTCAGGCACTAAAATTCATTTGTAGAATTTTTCGCTACCCAAACTATCTTGTTATAACCAATGATCTAAACACAACCTTTCTAACGCACTCAACTCTTTCCTGAAAGTGTTTCAATGCACTAGAAAAGATGCATTTTCATTGTAAAGCATAAAGTAAATCAAAGTTATTCACTCACTGTCTCCTTTCAGCAATTTGTTGATCACTTGACAAGCGATTTTATCAGATTCTCTAAATAAAGTATATTTTAATTTTTAAAATACTCAACTTTAAATCCTCAGGAGTTCCCGATGTGCAAACCCATCGGAATGGACCGAAACCCATCGAGAAAATGTCACTAAAGGAGGTGTTTAAATAAAATTATAAAATGAAATATAATAATCAAAAATTAATATTCTTTTTTACCCCATAATATCCTGAAAATAGCTTGGATAGCGAAAATCTTTGTCATCTTTCGCATTTTCTTTCAACATCTCGACTCCGGCTCTCTGAAATGAAAAAATTAGAGGAAATTGAGATATTTTATTTACATTAAATCTTCCTTACCTGACATTCGACAAGAAACGCGTTCCCGTAGTCCCAAAAGTACATTCCCCGTTTGGCCAGCTTATCAATGGCCGCGATTTGACGGCGGAGACTGCAAAAAGGGATTTAAACGCCTGTATTTAAAGATATTCAGTTAACTAACTGAGTATCACTATTTACGTCTGTATTTAGTGATACTCAGTTAGTTAACTGAATATCTTTAAATACTCAATTGCTTAAATAAATACCTTTAGAGACTAGTTTTGAACACTAATTTTGGGAGTGGGACAAATGCGACCTTTTTTGCGCACCCGGACATTTGCGCACCTTTTTTCCGCACTTAGCCCATTAGCGCACCTTTTTTCGCGTTTTAAAAAAGCTCTGAAAGCTAATATTAACCAATTTCTATTCCAAAAGTTGTTTTTCTAGGTAATTTGAGGGTGTCGAATCGAAATTTTGGCATATCAGAGCTTGTGGAAACAAACGGACGGAGTTATACACAAAGAGAAAGATCAACACTTTTCTGTAATTTGAAATGTCTTTCATTTCAAATTGGTTCCACACGCTCTGTTATGTCAAAATTTGAATTCGACACCCTCAAATTACCTAGAAAAACAACTTTTGGAATAGAAATTGGTTAATATTAGCTTTTAGAGCTTTTTTAAAACGCGAAAAAAGGTGCGCTAATGGGCTAAGTGCGGAAAAAAAAGATGCGCAAAAAAAAAAGGTAGCATTTGTCCCACTCCCCTAATTTTATCTGAAATATAAACTTTTTTTAAAAACTGTTTCACCCATCATGTAGCCAAGAAAGTAAGGTATGTTTTTTTATATAAAACTTGAGTTAGTTTGATATTTGGATTGTAAGAAATTTGACTTGAACTTTTTGAAGGTTTTCTATTCACCGTGTTTTAACTACATCCCAGATTTTCTTCATTTCCATTTGTTATTTGTTAGTAAATAAAAGTATTAAAGTTGCCGGATGTAGTTTTGCTGTTAGTTTTTAAAATTACCACAAAAGTATTGTTTTATAAAAGCCATCAAGGAAGGTTTATAAGAAAGGTTTACCTCTCCCTGACCAGCTCCTTAAATTCATTTGGTTTATTGGTCATCATTTGATTGGCTTCATCAAAAGTGATCCCAACTGGGTAATATCTGAAAGATGAAAGATCTGAATTGTTTTCAAGATTCCCAAACAAACAAACCCTCCAAGAAAAGGATTGTGACAAGATGTTTGATCCGAGCCAAGTTCCACGAGATTTTCCTCTTCCAAAGCTAACTTTTCCCTGGAATAATGGCTTGAATCTGCTTTGCTTTGCTTTGCTAAACTGCTTTGCTAAAGTTGCTAAATTTTAAGATGCTTTTTGACTTTGAAAAGTGATGTTGGTGAATTAAGAAGGCAAATTTTGTTCAAAACCAAATCCAGCAACAAAAATCAAGCTTAAAAATTGTAACTAATGTCAAAAATTGAATCACTGTATTGATGCCTTACCATAAATCGACAACATTCCCGAGATATCCGATTGAAATCGCTTTTCTCTCGCTTCTCGCCTCTTTAATTAAGCCAACGATTTCATCAAGATTCGTGCTGTAGATCTAAAATTTTAAAGTTTCAAGATAAAAGTCGATAAAAGTCGATCTAAGTCTCCAATTCTACCTCAAGCCACCCTTGGTCGTGTCGCTTCTTCAGCGCTTTTTCGCTAATCTAAAAATCGATTCATTTTAGATAAGCCTGAAATGTTTCTTAATCGATAAATTTATTGATTTTAGGGACTTTTTTTGATTTGATTGATTGATTGATTTGATTTGATTTGATTTGATTCATCATAATCTAGATCCTTTCTTTCCCCGACCTCAGCAATCACTCCAACACATCCAGCAATTTTCGCCGCTTTCGCTTGCGCGCCCGACATTCCGCCAAGGCCGGCCGTCACAAAAACTTTTCTGAAACGATTAGAAAACTATTTTTAATGATGTTGGTGAAGAAGAAGATTTTGGTCAAGAAGGGAATTTTTTTTCAAAACCAAACCCAGCAACAAAAATCAAAGTTAAATTGTAAACAATGTCAAAAAATGAATCACTTACCCAGCTAAATCATCAGTATTAAGGTATTTGCGGCCAGCGTTCATCACTGTAATCTAAAATTGAGTTTGTTTCAGCAATTTCAGCAATTTCAGCAAATTTTCAACCTTTCTAGTCTAATACTAATAGTTTTCTTTATATCTTTCTAAAATAAATCTCATTCTTTTTACTTACCGTTGTCCCGTGAACGATCCCTTGTGGCCCAATGTAGCAATAACTTCCAGCAGTCATTTGCCCATACATTGTCACACCCAATGCGAAATATTTATCATACAATGGCTTTGTTGAATAGTTTGGAATCATCTAGAAGTTGATGAGCTTTAGTTTTTCAATAAAAATTTCAAAACAAACCATTCCATTGGTAATCGTTAATCGTGGAGCATCTTTATGTGAAGGGAAAAGACCAAGTGGATGACCTAGAGGGTTTTAAATAGAATTCTTTGCTCAAAGCTTCAAATCGAATTCTTTACTCAAAGCTTCAAATCGAATTCTTTGCTTAAAGCTTCAAATCGAACTCTTTGCTGAGTTACACTAAGATCACAGTAGAATATAGCTACAAAGCTACAAAGCTATAAATAAGAAAATGATTTGTTTCGACAGTTCCAAATATCAAAATGATCAAAATTTGTTTAGAAATTCGTTTAAACAACCTGAATACATAACCAATGTCTGCTCATCGCTCATTGACCATAAATAACGGATGACCAAACGAAACTGAATAACAAAAATGCTATTAAATAAATATTAAATAAAATTTCAAAGCAAAAGACCCAAGAAGAATCAATTTATTTAACTAAATTGAATACGGTTTCTTTGAAATGAAAAGATCTTTTTATTGACCTGAATCCAATTGGAGAACACTTGCCCATTTCCACCATAAGTCACTAATTCTTGGGGAAACTGAAGAATGAGATAAAGCATTCAAATAATATTAACTATTCAATATATCTACAGGGTGCGTCGTAATTATTGCAACAAGAGTTCAAAGACCGTTTTCCAAACAGGAAAACGGGCGTGTCATGGGCGTGTAAAAGCCAAGAACAATCAAAATTGGACCTTCATGCAAGATGGAGCTCCCGCTCACACGAAGAAGACGGTTCAGGACTGGTGTGTGGCAAACTTTCCCTCAGTGATCACCAAGGATGAATGGCCTCCAAACTCACCGGATCTCAATGTGATGGACTTTTCCATTTGGGCAATCTTAGAGGCTAATGTCTGCTCTTTGACCTTGAAGAAGTCTTTGACCAAAGGATGGAAGGCGACTCCTCAAGATGACATTCGGGCCGCAGTGGAGGCATATTCCGAACCGATTAAAGGCTGTTATCAAGGCAAAAGGCGGTCATATCGAATGATCTCTTGTTTCCTTATTTGTTACTGTTAAATAAAGCTATTTCTGTCCTTCCAGTGAAACTTTTTGGTGTGCAATGCCTTGAGTATCTTGTTGCAATAATTATGACGCACCCTGTACATTAATTGTTATCTAATTAATTACATTAATTCTTGTTTAATTAACTACATTAATTCTTGTTTATTAACTACATTAATTGTTCAACTTGTAAAAGTAGAAAAGTTTTTTTTTTTGATTTCTTTATTGTACCTGTGCCACTTCAGGATCCAAATTGTTCATGATCATCAAAATGATTGCGGCCGCTTGTTGGCATTTTGCTTTGATTTCATGGATTGGTGGAGCCTGTAAATAGGAATTAAATGGAAAAATCTATCATTAAACTTTTAACGGGAAATCGGGCATAAAACGAAAAGCATAGATGTGGCCATAAGTCTCCAATTCTTCTGCGAATTCCTGAAATGATTTTTTGGTTTCAAATAGTTCAAAGCACGTTTATTGAAATATCGATTGCATAAAATAATTACAGCAATATGGCAATGTAAAAGCTAAATTATTTTTCGAAAAGATTTTTGGAAAAGATTGTGATTGATTGATTACCTTTGCCTTTGCCTTTGCCTTACCTTTACCTTTGCCTTACCTTTACCTTTGCCTTTGCCTTACCTTTGCCTTACCTTTGCCTCTTGCCTTTGCCTTTGCCTTTTACCTTTGCCTTTTACCTTTGCCTTTGCCTTTGCCTTTGCCTTTGCCTTTGCCTTACCTTTGCCTTTGCCTTACCTTTGCCTTTGCCTTTGCCTTTGCCTTTTACCTTTGCCTTTGCCTTTGCCTTACCTTTGCCAACAAATTGTGATATTTTTCGGGCACATAACGCAACGCATTCGCAACAGATAACTAAAATGTTTGCTTTAGCATATTCAAAACGATACGACGTACTAATGACGACTATTTTTGGGGTGTCAACTCGTTTTTAACGACTTTTCTTACCGTATTCTCTCTTAATAGTAGTGCACTCTCTCTTAATAGTAGTGCGACGTACTAATGACGACTATTTTTGGGTGCCTCGCTTAAATTCCTCGAAATCTCGAGAACCGCTTATCAGAACCTATTGATGTGCGGTCGGAAAATGTAGCTGACGATGAGATCTAGTGGGGGATTTGAGTGTTGAGCTTCTGTGAAGAACTTGGAAATCATAAAATCGTGATTAACTCGGCTTGACCGGGTTAATGACGCACTACTATTAGAGAGAATAGGTATTCATTTCGCAGATAGTTATTTACAAGTGTACAAAGATAGTTATCTCGCAGATAGTTCTCGATAACTTTATAACTTTATACTAGTTTCCAAGAGAAGATTCAGGGCTATCAAATGACTATAATAGTTTCATTTATGTTTAAATTTACATAAAATTTACATAAAATTAAAATAAAATTCAGTAAAACGCTCAAATTGCTGGGCGAATGTGTGTAAAATGAATTAAATTTAATTTTCTGTGATTCTCTGTGAACTTTTTTCTCGTTTGCATTCAATTGGAGTGGTCTTCTTGGAGCATGGGAGATATTGGAGAGGTTTCTCCATTTCGATGGATAATCGGGAAGTCCCTCGAAAGGATCACTCAATAAACCCTCGATACCACACGGCATTCTGAACTAATTCAAATCATAATCATCTAAAAATGAAACTTAAATAAAAACTTTGTAAAAGTTTCAAGATTTCGTGAAGAACGATTTGTTTAAAGGATTATTTTTATCTTTTACCGATTGTTTTTGCTTGAAAATGACTCGAATCTTTCATAAAATCAGATCTAAATTGTTCAAAAGTATGCGAAAATTGTGTTTTATGTCATCAATTGTGTCATTAATCGTCATTAATCATCATTAATGACATCACTTAACTTTTAACTTTATCATTAAAAATCGTAAACACAATTTTTGGCTTATTTTTGAACAATTTAGATCTGATTTTACAGTCATTGAGATTCAATGGGGAATTCAATTGAATAATTTGTGAGATTGAACGTTCAACAACTTGTCTGTTGTTGCAAGAAGAAGAACAAGAACTAGGACTAGGACTAGAACGAGAACTAGAACTAGAACTAGAACTAGGACAAGAACAAGAACAAGAACAAGAACAAGAACAAGAAGAAGAACAAGAACAAGAACAAGAAGAACAAGAACAAGAACAAGAAGAACAAGAAGAAGAACAAGAAGAAGAACAAGAAGAAGAAGAACAAGAAGAAGAACAAGAACAAGAACAAGAAGAAGAAGAACAAGAAGAAGAACAAGAACAAGAACTAGAACTAGGACTAGGACAAGAACAAGACCAAGAACAAGAACAAGAAGAACAAGAAGAAGAACAAGAAGAAGAAGAACAAGAAGAAGAACAAGAACAAGAACAAGAAGAAGAAGAACAAGAAGAAGAACAAGAACAAGAACTAGAACTAGGACTAGGACAAGAACAAGACCAAGAACAAGAACAAGAAGAACAAGAAGAAGAACAAGAAGAAGAAGAACAAGAAGAAGAACAAGAACAAGAACTAGAACTAGGACTAGGACAAGAACAAGACCAAGAACAAGAACAAGAAGAACAAGAAGAAGAAGAACAAGAAGAACAAGAACAAGAACAAGAAGAAGAAGAAGAAGAACAACAACAACAACACCAACTGTTCAACAACAACAATATTTCTAAGTTTCAAAGTTGTCAAATGTTCAATGTTCATTTAATCGAAGAGTTAAACGAAAAATATTCGAAACTTGAAATGTAAAATGTGATGGGGGAGATGGAGGGGATCGAGATTTTTATGGTCTCCTCCATTTCTCTGTTTCATTTTCAGCAAAGAATAGCCTTGATTTCTCCCATTTATCGTCCGTAAACGAATAAAATCTTTCGAGAAAAGAGAAATTCACATTTTCTTCAATGTTTTTGCTTTGGTTTTATCTGAAAATTTGTGAATGAGTTTAGAGGTTTGGAATTTGAATGAATTTGAATGAATTTTGTAGAATTTTAACATTTCTTCTTGCAGTAATGTGTATTTTCTTGCGTTTCTTTTTGAAAAGTTTACTTTTTATTCGACTGGCAGTTAAGAAAATACAGTGAAAACGAAATAATTTAATAAAACGAATCGCTCGAGACCGAAAACTTTGATATAACTTTGAACGTGTTTTTAGCTTCAATTTTTCAAAATTTCAAACGATATAACTTCAAATTTTCTACGTAACTGCGCTGGCCGGCTACTGATTGCATTTGGCTGGGGCAGCTACGCACAAATTTTGGATACTTTATAGGATTTCAAATTCTTTGTATCGAAGTTCGATTGGATCTCAAAATTGTGCAAAAAAAAAGGAATTACGATAGATTTAGTGGAAAATAGAAAAGATTAAATTAGATTACAAAGAAAAGGAAAAAAGAATCTAGATAAATGTAGTTAAGTTAATCTAGTTAAATTAATCTAGTTAAGTTAAGCTAGTTAAGCTAAGCTAGTTAAGTTAATCTAGTTAAGCTAATCTAGTTAAGCTAATCTAGTTAAATGTTTATCAAAGGAAATTTGTTGTAAATGTAAATAAAATTGATCTACAGATCAATTTTTTCTAAAATGATTCATCTAAATTTTTGTGATCCAAAACCGGAAACTGTCGAAATTGGGCGGTGATTTGGGAGATGATCGACAAGAAATCTCCGTTGAAATTCTCGGTCACAAAAACCGTGTCAAAACCCTGGAATTTGATGGTTTAATAGTGATAGATCTAGTGATAGATCTAGTGATAGATCTAGTGATAGATCTAGTGATAGATCTAGTGATAGATCTAGTGATAGATCTAGTGATAGATCTAGTGATAGATCTAGTGATAGATCTGGTGATAGATCTAGTGATAGATCTGGTGATAGATAATGGTGATAGATAATGGTGATAGATCTGGTGATAGATCTGGTGATAGATAATGGATGGATTTGGATTTGGTGATAGATAAGTAAAGCATATCAAATCATAACTTTGAGCTTAAGCTGGTCAAATGTAAGCTAAAAGTTTGACGACGCTGATTTTCTCAATTGTTCTAAATCAATTTCTTTTTATATCAAGTCCAGGCTAGGCTCAGAGAAGCTAGTTTTAAAACACCATTCACTGATCCATTCATAAAGATAATAAAGTTAAATAGACTTTAAATAGAGTTAATAGACTTAGAGTTAATAGATTTTATTTAATAAATAAATAAAGTCTATTATAGATAATATTAGGTTGTCCGGAATGAAAATACCCTTTTAATGAAAAACAAATCTATCTCCACAAAAAGAAAAAAAGGCGCTGTAATCCAAAAGATATTCTCCGTTGTTGGCAATAGTCTTTCTCCATTTTTCTTTCAAATCTCGGATCCCTTTGCTGAAGAAATCCTGAAGCTGCGAGTCAAAGTATTGGCTTACCCAAATTCGGACTTCGTCGTGATCCTTGAAGTGTTTATCGGTCAGGAAGTGCTGCATAGATCGAAATAAGCGGTAGTCTGAGGGTGCCGGATCTGGACTATACGGCGACTGCGGGAGACATTCCCAATTCAATTCCTCGAGTTTTTCTTGCGTCATCTTTGCTGTGTGTGAGCGCGCGCAATCTTGCAGATATCTCACAGTCGATGCGTTTACACCTTGATTCTTGAGAGTCTGGTCTAAAAGTTCCAGCTGTTGCACATATACATCTGAGGTAACTGTTGGACGAGAATGTAGAACCTCAAAGTGTATCAGACCACGGGAATTCCACCAAACAGATAACATGGCCTTTCTTCCATCCGGATCACGTTGTGGCGTCGTTTTTTGACTGTTCTCCTGGACTTAACCACTTCTGTTTTCGCGATGGGTTATCGTAGTAAATCCATTTTTCATCGGCCGTCACAATAGTGTCCCAAAAACCTCGATTTTTTGATTGACGAAGAAGAATACCGGCCATAGTCGCTCGAGTAGCTTTATTAGCGTCACTAAGTTGATGGGATACCCATTCTCCGACGAGATTCGCTTTACCCAAACGGTGTAAATGGTCCGCAATTGTTGTGTGGCCTACAGCAAACATTTTTGCAAGTTCCCGAGTCGACAAGGCTGGGTCATTTTCTATGGCTTCTCGAAGATCGTCATCGTGGAGGGAGTGACCACGTCCTCGATCCTGTAGAGTTTCGTCTCCCTCTCTAAATCGTTGAAACCATTTTTTACAAGCTTCCTCAAAATAAGCAGCTTCTCCAAAAAATTTCAAGATTGAACTATGGCTCTCCCGGACACTTTTTCCTTGTTTAAAGTCGTAGAGCAAGCACACCCGAATTCGGTACTTCTGATCTTCCATTCGAAAAAAGTCAAAATTGTAAGGCAGTAAATTTTTATAAAAACATAGAGTTAGAAAAGATATATAACTTTAAAACAAAACAAAAATCAGACGCGAAGCTGTTCGCTACACCAAAAAAAATTGCAATCGAAGCTGAGGGTATTTTCATTCGGGACACCCTAATAGATTGTTTTACAGTCATGGGCAAAAGTCTTTTAACGTTGATTTTTAGAAGTTTGCTCTTTGTCTTGATCTTGATCCAAATCCGATCAATTTGCAAACGTTTGAAAGATTTAAAGGGCTTATTATCTCTATCTTATTTAACATTATAAAAAGATGGATTTGACGATTGTCATGAACTTTTTAAAAAAACAAAAATTGAGCCAAAAAAATTGAGCCTTTAAAAAAAGCCATCTTTTAACCGTTTACAAATTGGTCGAATTTTGATCAAGATATACAAAGAGCAAACTTCTAAAAACTAATGTTAAAAGACTTTTCTCCATGACTGTAAAACAATCTATTATCTATTATCTTTATTATCATCTTTATTATCATCTTTATTATCTTTATGAATGGATATCATAAAATCAATGTCTTCACAAAGAGTAAACTTCTAAAAACCAATGTTAAAAGACTTTTCTCTATGACTGTATCTTTATTTTTTATCATAGAATCAGTGTCTTCACACACAAAAAAAACAAACCTGGAAAAGCAAAGCTCGATCTGATCGATAGTGCTCTGAATCGAGAAGGTATGCCCAGTAGTTACCGTAATATTGCGGGTTACCGGTGAACTGAAAAGTGAGCTAGATTTTTTGAATCTATTGGAGAATTTCTTTACATGAACTGCACTAATAATCGCATTGAATGTCTCAATCGTTTTCGGCTCCAACTCCAACGCGTAAATCCTTTTCTTCATAAAGGTACTTGATTGAACCGCGAAAGTCTGAATTTGGGTATTTGAGGGTTGATTTTTATCTTGCATTTCAGGCTTTAGTCTTAAAAGTTAGACTTAGCTGCTCATCACTAGATTTAGCTGATTCTCTAGCCTATGCTTAGACTTAGACTTAGCTGCTCATCACTAGATTTAGCTGATTATCTAGCATATGCTTAGACTTAGACGTAGATTGACTTAGACTTAGACTTCTACAACTTCACCTCAAGAATTTCCAGTACATCTTTCACCGGAAAAATCCCGAGTTTAGCATTTTTTCGTAAAAGAGGCGGAAGTGCTGGAGGTGGAGGATCATTGGGAAATGGATTGGCTCGTGGGAAAACATTCAATCGTTGTTGCCTGTTTCGGTACTCAATTCCAAGAGGGATCGGTTCCGGTAGACGGGGAAGGACGAAATTAACAAAATCCTTATCAGAGATTTCATTTGGTGTCTCCTGATTCCGCATTGTCTCGATGAAGACAAATGAAGAGGCGGATGTCTGCAAATTGTACGATAAGTCGTTCAACTATCAAAGTTCAGCTTTTGAAGCCGTTCAACTATGAAACAAAGCTATGACGGAACTAAGCTTTTCTAGAGTTCACTCTCTCTTCTCTAGAAAGTGGATCATTTGAAAAGCTAACGTAATCTTTTTCAAATTTTCCGCTTTTTAAAGATTATTACAAACCAATGCCAAGAATTGACTCATCCCAGCAGGACACTTTTTACACTTCTCATAGCACCAGCATCTCCATTCATCGACGATCCATTTAAGCCCCAACTAAACATTTTTGTCATTTGCATTAATTTTAAGCTCACTAGATTATAAACCTAATTTTAAGATTGATAGAATTTACCGTAGACTTTATTTCCACTCGATTAATGAGCTTTTGCAGATTTCGTATACAATTGAAGACAAAAATGGCGGCACCAGAGTTTTGCAAAAGAGTGGAAAAGTTGAGAAGGTCCGAATTGAATAGCTGAAGGGTTAAAGTTAAAGTTTTCATTGGATTCACTGGCATATGTTTAATAATATCTTGAAGGATATTCAAGAATATATACTTTGTTTGATTTGTCAAGATTTGTTTTAGATTTTGTCTCACTGGCAAGTATTTGCATTTCATTGAAACTCATCTCTTCTTCTCTTCGAAGAAAAAATTGTTCAAAAACTTCAAAACCGGTTTTAACCGAATCCCTAATTTAAATAAGATCTTAGCTAAAGGATTTTAGCGTTGCAGAGGCTAAGGAATGGATCTGTTACCGTATTTTCTCTAATAGTGGTGCACCGAGTTGATGTCTGAGCCGTGTTGATGACTATTTACAGCTGCCAAAGTTTTCCCAGAAGCTCAACACTCAAATCCCCCACTAGATCTCATCGTCAGCTACATTTTTCGACCCCACATCAATAGGTTCTGATAAGCGGCTTTTGAGATTTCGAGGAATTTAGGCAACGCTTAGGGTGAATAGAGAAAATCGGTAATTTTTTTGACTTTTTGAATGAATAAATATAGAAAATAAATTCATTTAAATAGTTAAAGCTATTAATTAAATGAATCTTTTTATTTCTAGGTTGTGGTTTTGCTTTAAATGTTTGTTGTCCGATCAATCCGGCTAGAGATTTGGGGCCTCGTTTGTTCGCTTATTTACTCTATGGATCCGAGGTTTTCTCGTGAGTTGCTTATCCGATCAATCCGGCTAGAGCACAATTATTAGAGAAAATACGGTATTTGAAACTGACAAGCAATAGATATAATAAAATAAAATGGTTAGAACTAAGTCTAGATATTCTTTTATTTAACTTTTAACTAAAATAATCGATAATCGATCAAAAATCGATCATTTTGATAATCGAAACTTTTTTGATCAAAAACAAACCGTGACATTTTGATAGGGGTTTTCAATTGGGAAGGTATGCACTCGGAGTAAACGGGGTCGAATCGTTTTTGTCAATTGAAAGATCACAAATCTCTCGTCAAAGTCTTCAGCTATCAGAAAATCCTTGTTTCCACTGCAGAAAAAAAAAAACTCATCAATGAATGAATGAAGATTCTTGAAATTTACCCAAACAATTGCGAGTGGGTGATTTTGATTTTCTCTTCTGTTCCTTCTGTATTCCTACTGAACGAGATCGCGAAATGCCCATCGCGACTGTTCCAGAGTCTGATTTTCACCTGAAATCCTCACATTTTCATGGTTTAATAGTACAAAATCTCTATTTTAGACTCTATTTTAGAATATTAATGCAATCAATCTTAAATCAATCTCATTTTTCCGTGAACAAATATGATTTTTAAGTAATTTATTCAATTTTTTACCTGATTTTGCGTGCCGCTGAGGTGTGCTTGGCCGATTTTTCGCGGCAACAGACCCACTTTATTCACCAAATCTTTTGTGCCCTAGAATTTGATGTTATGAACGTTTTTTTTTTGATTGTTTAAAGTCAAAGTCTATTTCAGTTAAAATAATCAATCAATCCAAATCAATCAATCAATCAATTCAAATCAATCAATCAATGAATCAATCAATCCAAATCAATCAATAAATCAATCCAAATCAATGAATCAATGAATCAATCAATCCAAATCAATGAATCAATCAATCCAAATCAATCAATAAATCAATCTAAATTTTCATTTTTCAACAGTTTTTAATATTTTCTGTGCCCGTCCTTTTCTCAAATAAAGCTCAAATACATTTTTATTATTTAAAGCCTAGTGCTATTGTTTAAAGCTATAGCTTTGAAATAAAGTAGATAGAACAAAATGAAGGCTGGATTGAGCAGTAATCCTAGAGCTTGTTGGTGAGTTTAATTAGCTGTAAGGTTGTAGTTTAGATTGAAATAAATCATTAAAAGAATGAAAAGAATAGATTTATTTCCATTTCCTAATTTTCACTCACTGAATTGATCCCCCTGATCAGCACTTTCTCATTTGTAGAGAGTAGCTCGAAGATATTCAGCTTCAGCAATAGGGGCAATGCTTCGACCGGGAATTCCTTCATTGAAATGAATTTACAGATGAGAATAAATAAAGAAGAAAATCTTTTTGGCTTGGTTTCGGCGAAAAGAAAAACTTGGCAATGGTTCTCTTTTTGAAAAACGCGACGCAACCGCTTTCGCCTTGTTATCTAGCGCTTTTGATAGTAAACACGTGTTTTGTGATAAACAATGAGAAATATTTATAGATAAGTTACAAAAAATTGTACATATCATACATATAACGGGCAAAAGTAAGACTTAAAGCAATAGAAAACTGGTCTGTTAGTTGTTAGCTTTTGTTAGCTTTTGTTAGTTGGTTAATATTTGACAAGACCACAAAATTATGTAAATTCAGAAGAAAACGATAAAAGTTGCCTCTATTTTAATATATAAGCGAAAACTCTTCCCATTTTCAATTCCTTTAAGTCAGGTACGATAGACGACTCTGGAAATGGCTCTTTGGCTTCTTCAAATTCACAATAAAGATATAAGGAAGCCAAAGCCCAAGGGTTAATTGCCTCGGTTGAAAAACCCGAGGCAATTAACCCTTGGGTAATTAAACCGAGTTTCGGGGATCTCTGTGGAAGTATCTGCGCGCGCCGTGTGCCAGATGCCACTTTTTCCTACGGCGCACACGAAGGGTACGCACAGTTTCACTGGTGATCTAATAATTGAGATGATTTGGTTTTGCAAAAAGAACCCGTTTCTTTGAAAGACAATAAATAAGTACAAATATTAATCTTGGCTTTCATTCAAAATCCCCATCATCTTCATCATCTTCACCCGAGCATTTCTCCTCCCAACAAAAAAGACGAAGAACGCATTTCGAGCAGTGTGAAATCCGCTCACACTCGTCTGCAGTGCATAAAGCCTGGAAAAATATTGTTTTTTTATTGAGAACAATTTGGGGAATCTAGAATAGGATTTCTGTGCGAGTAACGCGTTTTCGGGGTTACATTAGTGTTCCAAATAGTGGGTAATTTGGAAAGTTACCGTAATCATTGCTACATTGCACAAAATTCAAAAAATATGCATTTTTGTGCTAAAATATCACGTAAAAGTTCTTTTTTTGAGAAACGACACTCAATCGATTTGCCCACCTGAACGAGTTTTCCCGAGAAAGCCATCAAAACGAAAGCAATCATTAAAATTGCGCATATCCTCATTTGAGACTTTTATCGAATAAGCAATCAGCTGTCTTCTAGTGGCAAAATCAAAGTAAACTGATTGATAGAAATATTTGGAGGAAATGATGACTCTCATTGCTGAGAGGGGTGTCCTTTTTGACGTCAAATGAGCGGTGATCTCTCACATTGATGGGGAAGAAACTTGATCGACTCTAAAACAGCGAATAGCATTTTTTGGAGTCTGTTTCGATGTTATAAACATCGAAATACCCAAAATCGTAGAGTAGCCAAAGTCTAATAGCGGTTAAAAGTAGTGAAATAAATTAATAGCTGCTGCCGCTTGAAAGTATATTAACTTAAATATTAACAGTTAACGGCCAAAAATCGGTTGGGTGGGTAAAAACTTAAAAACTTTGACTGTTTCTTAAATCTCATTGCATTTCCATGACCTGCTTTGATCCATGCTTTTTGATTGTGTGATTTCTCCAATACCCAACTCTTATCCTATTCATTAGAGTCACTAATTGGCAAATCATTTGAGTGGGTAAATTTTTAAAAATGTCTGGGGAAATGTTGGAAAAGTTTTGTTACTTGCATTTTTGTGTAACGATCCTTCTGCTCATCGTTTGGGGGTGGCTACTTTACACCAAATTTTCTGCACAACTCGTCATAACTTTCGAGACTATGAAAATACCGCACCGCCATTTGTGCACACGTGGAAAAACGTCTCTTGCGCACAACAGACCCCGCCCACTAACTTCAAGCGCTAAAGGTTGCACCAAATGGCCTACATTGTTTCGATTGGGTCCAAATTTTTACAGCCTGTTGCGCTCGCATATGTCCATCGACTGTAAAAATTTCAGCTTAATAGCTTCACTACAAACAATTGGGAAGCCATCGTTTGTTTTGCGCGAAAATGATGTCTTTTTTTGCGTCTTTTGCGCACAAAAAATTTAAGTCACTCTAAAATCGTTTGTAGTGAAGCTATTAAGCTGAAATTTTTACAGTCAATGGACATATGCGAGCGCAACAGGCTGTAAAAATTTGGACCCAATCGAAACAATGTAGGCCATTTGGTGCAACTTTTAGCGCTTGAAGTTAGTGGGCGGGGTCTGTTGTGCGCAAATGGCGGTGCGGTATTTTCATAGTCCCTAACTTTCTTCTAAGTGGGCAAATTTTTGTGCCTTTGTTGTCATTTTGTAGATCCCAACAAGTGCAACAAAATGACACCAAAATCATAAAGATTGTTCCACTAAGAAGAAAGTTATGACGAGTTGTGCAAAAAAAAAATTGGCGCAAAGTAGCCATCCTCCATCGTTTTTTCCTGTCTCTTCTCAATTGTAAATTTTTCCCAAAGAATTTGCGCAAAAAGTTATCGCATCGAATGGACATCGAAATATTTGCCTCGAAAAGAGACGAATTCATTCCAAGGTTATCACAATTTTGATCAGATCTAGGGGTTGGTTCTCATCTTTGCCGAATTTTGTTGTCATTTACACATCAACGCCGCTTTCTTTCAATTTCCTTACACTTTGATACGTTCAATTTGCTTGTGTCATAAGACTTTCGCTAGAAAATGCGAGCAGCAATGTGATATCATTTTCAGCATAGTTCTAGTACCAAATATTCATTGTTACCGGGGATTTTCTAAGCTAAAGCTTTGTTGTTCCCCGATTTCCTACTCCAATCCCTCATCATCGTGTTTTCCCAGCGTCTCTCGCCCGTTTCCCTCTTTTCTCTCAAAATCCTCCCTTCTTTTATTCCAAAGTCCCATCTGTTGGCCCCTTTTCCCGTCCCCAGCTTCTTTCGCTCTGTTGCGTCTAAACTACGCTTTTTACTAGGTCGTCGTGGATTTTTTTTTCGCAATCTATTTACTACATGTTATTTTTGAGTTAAATTTTGTGCTCTTGCTTAATTTTTCTTTTCTTAAGCTTTTAAATATTTATTTATAGATGGCGGGTATTGACGGGAGTGCCGGCAAAGGGATTAATCCGAGTGGAGGTAAGGGTTTTTAAGGGATTCTTATGCAATGTCTCATTTTTAGATGCGAAACAACGCTTCCTCTTCACATCCGAATCGGTCTCCGAGGGACATCCTGATAAGGTTAGTGCTTTTTGTGAATTGAATTCTTCAAAACTTTCGAAATACGTTTTTCAATAGGATTTGAGGGATAAAAATTTAACTTTAAGTTAAGCCTTTTGATCAAGTCTGTTCCCATGATATTTTTATGTTTAGATGTGTGACATCATCTCGGACACGGTTCTCGACGCTCATCTCGAACAGGATCCATACGCTAAAGTGGCTTGCGGTGAGTGATTTTTGTTAAAGTTTTGAACAAGAAAAGAAATTGAAAGTTACTCGAAATTTGACTTAGTTTTATCAAAAACTGGGTGCTATTCCGGAGCAGTTTGTAACCGATTTTTTTCGAACTCTCCACTAGTTTTAAAATCTTTTCCTAAGGTAATTAATTGTTCTGAATCTATTGGAAGCATTTTTAAGCCATTCTGAACATCTTTTATGTAATTTTGAACAACTTTTATGCCGAGCCTTTAAGAGGGGCTCTATTTCCACTGGGTTCAAAGATGCGGGCTGAATTAAGAGGCTTAAAACCTCAATAACTGCTTGAAATAGGTAGAAAGCAGTTACTATAGCTTAGATAGATACCAAATTAAGCATCTACGCTATTAATACCCTAGGAGCAAAAAGTAGTGCGCTCTGGTTTAACAGAGACGAATGTACATTGCCCCTCCCCCTGAACTATTATAGCACTAAAAACTATTTTCAACTTGCTCATAGCATTCTAACTGTAATACAGATTATTTTAAAGAATTTGAGTTTAGCTTTTTTAAACAAATCATATTATTTTTAGAATCGGTTACAAAGACGGGGATGGTGTTGTTGGCAGGTGAAATCACATCAAAAGCTCACGTCGACTATCAGGCGATCGTTCGAGAAGCCATCAAGCGAATTGGATTCGATGATTCGTCAAAGGGTTTGTTTAGAACGACGGTTTGAAGCCTTGATGTCTCAATTTTAGGTTTTGACTACAAAACGTGCAACTTGTTGGTTGCTCTTGATCAACAAGCACCTGAAATAGCCGCCGGTGTTCACGTTGGCAAATCGGATGAAGATGTCGGAGCCGGTGATCAGGTAGAGCTTTCTAAAATGATAAATTAACCAATGCTTAAATTAAATATTATTATTGTTGTTAAATCAGCGAAAATATTAAGTAATTTATCTGGCCTTATCAGCCAGCAACATTTAGCTGTCTCGTGTTTAAAATTAATTTCAGGGTCTGATGTTTGGGTATGCGACGGATGAAACAGAAGAAGCGATGCCTCTTTCTCTTCTCTTAGCGCACCAGGTACTATAAAAATATTTGTTCTTTGAAAAATCTCTTAGTTGGTCGCTCGTTTACATCAGCTTCGTCGTAGTGGCATTCTTGATTGGGCTCTTCCGGACTCAAAAAAGTCAAGTATGCACATTTTTTTACGTGTTTGATACTTGCTTTAAGGTGACGGTAGAGTACGAGTTTGATGGTGGCGCCTGTGTTCCTGTGAGAGTGCATACTGTTGTGATGTCATCTCAACACAAGGTTTGTAGTCGCTTCTAAACCGCATCTTCTAATTAATTCAAACTTCAAACTTTATCTATAGCATTAATCGATTTTAAACTAGGAGTTTAAGATGAAGATGGGTTAAAATAAAACGAATAATTGTAATTAATTTTTATTGTTTTAGCACGATTCGAGCCTTGAGCAAGTGAGAGAAGATGTGATGAAGCATGTTATTCGTTGTGTCATCCCACAACGGCTTCTTGACGATCAAGTATTACAGTTTATAGATATTAAATTTTTGTTTCTTAGACCAAATTCTACTTGAATCCTTGCGGAACTTTTCATGTCGGCGGCCCAATGGGTGATGCGGGATTGACTGGACGCAAAATCATTGTTGACACGTGAGGTTTCTAGCTATTCTTTAAATTTTATGTATTAGTTACGGTGGATGGGGCGCGCACGGTGGTGGAGCTTTCTCGGGAAAAGACCCAACAAAGGTTCGGCTTTTTTTCATTAAAAGCTTACCAAATTACTAATTTAGGTTGATCGTTCGGCTGCTTATGGAGCCAGATGGGTCGCTAAATCACTTGTGAAAGCCGGAGTCTGTCGTCGTTGTTTAGTTCAGGTCAGCGAAAGATCGTCTGGCAATTAAGTCTGAAAGTATTTGATACAATTTTAAAATAGCGTGCATAATATTTGTTTTTTTTAGGTGTCGTATGCAATTGGGATGGCGGAGCCACTGTCGGTGACCGTCATCTCGTACAATACATCGCCGCTTTCTGAGGAAGAATTGCTGACGATCGTCCGTGACAACTTTGATCTCCGCCCAGGAATTATCATTCGGTTTGCGAACTGAATTTATCGAAAAACTTGTCTCTTGTCAGCGATCTCCAATTGCGTCGGCCGATTTACAAGGAGACAGCAAAGAATGGCCACTTCGGTCATCCTTCATTTCCTTGGGAACAGCCAAAAGAGCTCAAGTTGGTTGCGATTTGGATTTATTACAAAAACTGGAGGAGTTATTGTCAAAGAACCTTACTTTTAAGTAAACAATGCTTCTAAAATTAACCTTTGTGACTAAAAAGACCGGATTTTTGAATAAGATTGAACATTGTATTGGGTTGGTGGAAAAGTCCTTTCGGATTTTTTGGGAGAGTACCTTACCTAGAGTATCAATAGCCTTTCCGCCGCTTTTCGCGATTTTCCTTCGTTTTTCTCGTTTTTTTTTGTTTTGTTGGTGCGAACTTTGGCTGGACAACTTTTTTTTAAAACAAAAAAAAACGAGAAAAACGAAGGAAACACGCGTAAAGCGGCGGAAAGGTTATTGATCTGAGGGTCGCTGGTTCGACTTCCACCAGTGACAATATTTTTCAAAAAATTTTGCATAAGATTCTGAAAATTTGTGTCTAGGAGTTATTTTTGACGCTGATCACCAAACACATGTTTTTAGCCTAGGTTTCTGCACGGAAAACTAACGAAACGTGAAAACAGCCATTTTTTGGCTCTGCCGCCCTTATTACTAAAATAGCTATAAAAACTTTTAGAAAAGAGATATCTCAAAACGGTTTTTACCAATCGATCCGTCTTGAATTCCAGCTTTAGGATGAGTTATAAAACGCCAAAATTGGACAAATTTAAGGTACTCTCCCAAAAAATCCGAAAGGACTTTTCCACCAACCCAATAGAAAAAAGTGAAACTGTAAAATCCAATCACTCACGTTTAGAATACGCCCCGGAGTTAGCCAAGAAATTGCACGATCAAAATGGGCGAAAATGGTGTCAGGATCATACGAGGGATGACAAGAAATGTATTTCTTTTTCGATCACTTAGATTGTTGTTTTTCTTTTTTTTGTTATTGTCATGTTCGAGTTTTATTTTTTTTTTTCCAAAAGCTTTAGATTCCCCTAATTTGGTTCCAAAATGTGCATTATGGCCAACTCTGAGATTTTCATCAGGAAACCTCTTTTCTTGTAATTGTTGTAGTTTCTCGGAAGTTTTTTTTATTTTGAATAAATTTTATATGGGGGCTTGGGAAGTTGCTAAATAACAGAGGCGGCTATTAGATAGATCTGTTGTTTCTTTTCGTGACCAGCTAAGTCACTCTATTAGAAAAAGCAGTTCCAGATTTGTTAGTTTTCTCAGATTAAATTTTTGAAAAGCACCGTACTCCAGCTACTTTCAATATTTTTTGTGAACCCTGAGAATCTGCAAAAATTGGATAAAACCATGGGCTATGACGACTTTCTCAAAAGTTGATGCCTTTTCGAAAACTATTTAATCCTGTTCGATTACCGGTTAGAATTACAATCAGCTTAGCCCTCGGTATTTATCCGAAACCAAATTACAAAACAATTTCAGATCTGTAGAAATGTGTTACTACGACAACCTCGTATCAGCAAGAAACGGCAACAAGTCATTTAACATTTCGTGCTTTTCCTATCAATTTCTTTCACCTTTGCTCTCTCACAGCTAGTACAGCAAAATTACCAACACTTCGCCCTAAAAATTATATCAAAATGGATGCGAAGCAGCTATTTATAGGTAAAATGCCGCGGGTGCCAGAGCAGCTAAACCCGCCCCTTTCCGCCATTCCTTGCCAATGGCAAGCTCAGCCCCCGCCTTTCCACTCCAGCCCGCACTTGATGGCGGGCGCCTTTTGGAAGCCCTTATAAGTGGCGGTTTTGTTTCATTTCTTCCTCGTTCTTCATCTCACGAACAAAATGGCTCGAACCAAACAAACCGCCCGCAAAGCATCGACTGGAGGAAAGGCACCTCCGCAAACAGTTTAGCCTGCAAGGCTGCCCGCAAGTCAGCCCCAGCAACCGGAGGAGTCAAGAAGCCTCATCATTACTGCCCACGAACTGTCGCTCTTCCGAGAAATCCGGCGCTACCAAAAGTCAACTGAGCTTCTCATCCGCCATTCCGTTCCAACGACTCGTCCCCGAAATCGCCCAGGATTTCAAGACTGACCTCCGCTTCCAATCGTCTGCTGTGATGGCCCTTCAAGAAGCTTCTGAATCGTACCTCGTCGGTCTCTTCGAAGACACCAATCTGTGTGCAATCCATGCCAAGCGCGTGACGATCATGCCGAAGGACATCCAACTTGCTCGTCGTATCAGTAGTGAGCGTGCGTAAGTGCTGAACGATGATTCAAACTAAACCCCAACCCAACGGCCCTCTTTAGGGCCACAAATCGACCCCAGGAAGGATAAAACTTTTGAAGATGTTTTTTGATAAAGGCCTAATCTGATTTTATGAAAGTTTGAGAAATAGTCGGGACTTGAATGGAATTTCCTGCAGATCTAGAGCTATTCAGTCGCCTGCAAGTTTTAGTGCCCCAAACCCAACGTAGATGGGCAAAATGCTACTTGGAAATTTGGGCCAATCGAACCAACGCCGACCAATTTGGTGCAATTTTGCCCGAAATTTTTTGGGCCGGACACCGCGTCAGCAACGGCAGAAGCGAACAATCGAGTTGGCGGGGATCTAGTTCCAGTAAATTTTGTTATTGTCTTGACAACATTAAAGGATTGGTAAATATATTTCCTTTTTTAAAACTAAGGCACGAATCGGAAGGTGCAAGTGGTGAAAGATGACCCGGAGAACAACAGAGCCCAATAGCTCGAGCCACCCAAAAGTTAAGTATTTTGATCCATTTGCCAGGACTAACTGTATTTAATAATTTTTTTTGGCTTAAGACCAACAATGAAACGGAGACTTCGGAGAAAGAAGGCTCGGCAAAAGATAACAACTCAAGGGCGACAGCAGAAAAAGAAGAAAGGAGAAAGTCAAAAAATTAGTTGAGATGTGAATACGTTTGTGTTTTTTTGTTTAGGAGCCGAAGAGTACGCGTCATGTCAAGAAAGATACAGCCACACCGATACAAGAAAACGAGAAGAAACCGGCAAAAAAGATGGACAGAAAGCGCACAACAACATAAGGTGCGAGGATTGGACAAGTCATCCGAGGGATAACAACAAACGGCCAAAATCGAAGTATGTTCGCTTCTGGAGAAATCCCACCAAACCCCTGGATTGTGGAGTTTGTGCCTGCTTAGAGCCACATTAATGTTTTTGTGTTTTTAAGTGGCAGCATTTAAGCAAAGATCCAAGCTCGAGAAGCCTTCATGAATAATCTTTCACTTTTATTTTTAGGTTCGAAATCTTGGAGCTTCTTGGCAGGGCGGCTTTGTCCGAATCAAATCACTCGAGCGTCTCCAATTCGAAGTGGACATCATGCTCGAACTTCAAGATCTCGAGAGCGACCAGTCGGTTTATTCAATAGATTATTTCATAGAGCCTGTTGTTTTTTTTTTATAATTTGTTTCTTTAGCCAGAAGCACTTCATCAAGATGATCTCGCGTGATCAGGCTGTGAGGTTTAGAGTCGCCATCCCCCAAGTACTCAGGCTCAGCGTTTTCGACATTCGCACCAACGAAAATTTCACGTAAGCTTTGACTGATACTAGAAAGTATTATGCTTTTGTTTTTTAGCAAGTCAAGGTCTCTTCAAATCTGCATTCAAATTTGCAATGCTCCTTCGGGATTTCCGCTCCAGACGGTTTCTGCATCGTGACGTGAAGGTACAATATAGATAATGTTTCTAACCAGTTTTTAATGATTTAGGCTCAAAAAGTGCGCCGTTAGGAAGTACAAACAAGATATCATCTCCATCTTCGACTTCGGTATCATAAAGCGCTATCTGGTGGTCAAGAACGAGGCTTGTCGGATGTAAGTCTTGCGTTGTTGTTTGGCAAATTGGAAAGTGTTAGTATTTTAATTGTATTTTTTAGCAAGAAGCGCACCAATCTCCTTCATTGGCACGCTGAAGTACTTTGTCCGATAGCGGCCCACGACGGAAGGATCGAACAAGCGCCAAAAAACGATATGGTTTTGCTTAGATTACTCGTGTTTGTAATCTGACCAATTTTAGGAAGCATAGTTCAGACTTTATCGCGGCACCGCCCGAAAATCCTCGAGGAGCTCATTGAAGCAGAAGAGTTACAAGGCGCAACGAGAAATCAAAATGCGTATTTTACGGATTGCTTACCTTTTTAGAGCAAAAGACGTGTTCGATGACCAGACGTTGCAGTGCTTCGAGGCATTCACCACGTATCTTCGCGGTGTCGAAATGGATTTGATTTTATGATCCTGATGTTACAGGTTAGTTGTTTTTGATAGGATAAATCCATAATTTTACCCCCCGTCCAGAAACTGACAAGGAAAAGATGACATGAATATGCCCGTTGATTGGATCGAAGACAATGTAAGTTAATATGTTTACTTCAAAATGATTGACTTCTCATCGCTCGACTTATTACCATAGAAATAGTTTCTATTCCTAAATTGTCTTTTCATTTGCTAGGCCTTGTCTTTCTTTTTGTGATTAATTGTGATTTATAGAAATTGCATTGAGTGATAATAAATGCAGAAAACTGTGTTTCAAGAGTGGAAGCTTTCAAATCTTTATCTATCAAGTATTTCTCCCATGACAGCAAACAAAAAAGATCAATATGGGGGCTCGTTTTTAAAAAAAAGAAAAATTTGAGATCAGTGACAAAAAAACGGTAGAAAGTACAGGTTAGTAATAGCAAGAAGCACAGTTTTTGCCCGGGTTTATGCATTTCTTGAATAATATTGTGTTCGAATCGCTCAAAACTAATACGGTTATTGGCTACCGGATAATAAAAGATAATGATTGGTTTGGTTAATACAGTTTTTAGTAATAAACAAGACTACCGTAGCTGAATAAAAGTATCTAATCATTTTGGCTGGTGTTTCCACATTCTCATACAGTAATCAAACTTAGTGAAACTTCACAGGATATTCAGTGCACGTAGCGGGCTACTGTAGATTTACTGTAGTCCTATGAGTCAGCTTGAATATTTTGTTATCTTACAAATAAGCTACAATGGCAAGTCGAAAAAGAATCCTTTTCTCAACACAAATCAATGAGCATTCATTCGACTAAACAATAAGAAAAAGAAAAAAAAATTGACCGCTTTTCAGTTTCGAATTTACGTATTTCTTTTCAGTTTTTTTTACCTCAACTTTTGAGGGTCGCACTGAGAAGATCATTTTATGTAGGCAAACGGGAGAAATCATGATGTTGATGAGAAAGAGGAGAGTAGAATTAAAAAAAGAGAACGAAAATAGAGCAGAAATAGAGGCAGAAATATTTTCTTTTGGAAAGCCCTCAAACCGAATCGAAGTTGTACTTTTAGTGCAGGCGATCCACCTTAAGGCGCACGTTCATCGCGGTGAGTCGACGACCGGGAACCGGCCGCCAACCACTCGTCCATCACTTTCCACACGTCTTGATGCACCTGGGAAATGGGTTTCTTTTGAGTTTTTTGTGATGGTAGTTGAGCTTAAAGCTTAGTTGAGCTTCTTCAACGAATTTATAAAATTTCTACGAATAGAACTTCTCTGTCATCTGACTAGCGCTAGCCATTTTGTTTCTCGAATTTATAGAATACAATTTTTTTGGCCTAGCTGGCCAATTTGGTCTAGCGGGCCAATTTTGGCCAATTTTTTGGCCTAAGCCGAACTAAATCGTATAGCTAAATCTGCAAAGAGTTCTATTAGGTAAAAATTACGGCAAATTCACGGATTTACTATGAGTAAAATCAATAAAATCAATAAAAGATCAATAAAAATCAATAAAATAAATTACTATGTAAATCAATAATCAATAAAATCTTCAATAAAGAGTCAGCTTTCTGGGGCAGAAAAGCGTTCTAGCTTATGAGCTTCAGGTTTATCAAGTTTTCACTGTTTCCATTCGAATAAACCGACTTGTGAAAGCCGCCACTCGTTTGTCGAGTGCTGGCCTTTTTCCTCGTCTACCACCACCTGAAAATTTTGCCTGAAAATTTGAAAATTTTCATATTTCTAAGCTCTAATTCTATAACTTAAACTCAAATTCGGCTTTTCCACCACTCACCTTTTCATTTTCCATAAAGATGACGGATCGCGCGGCACGATGCTCCCAATAAGGCATCGATTCTTCGAATGAGAGGCGTCCCCCCAAAGAAAAGACTTTTGGAATCGATTGAACTGAACTGAAATTGAGCTCGGCTTTCAAAAGACAACTTTTAAAAGATAGCCGGTGTACTTTTTTAGAAAGCATCCCTTTTACACAAAACTCACAATTCTCGGGTTTCGTTCGACTTAGGAGTCTCCCACATCACCAAACCGAAAGAGTACATGTCGACCATCTGGCAAAAAATCATTGATTACCGTAGCCTCATGCTTTTCTAAAAGGTATCGATTTAAGGCTATTCTGCCGTAATCAGTCAGTTTTATATTTATATTATTTATCAGCGAATTTTTGATAATGATACAAGGTAAATGTTACAAAAAAATTGGGCTAATTAAATGGAAATTAAATGAAAACTTTCGAGTTTAGAGGTAAGAGAATAGATGTAAGGAAATGATGATAAGGATAGATTTGGAGAATAGAGGGTAGTGAAATGTAGAGGTGGAATAGATGTAGGAATAGTAGGAATAAGAGGTAGATTACTACCTCATTACTACCGTCAAACTCGAAAGTTTTCATTTAATTTCCCAAGGAAACGAACTCGGTCTCTTTAACTAGTTAAAACTTGAACTAACTAACTAAACTTTAAACTAATTCTCCTTTAACTTTAACTTTAAAATCAATATTTTATTTTACCTTGAATAGCTCAAAACTTCTGAAGATGTTCTCTTCGATCAGGATCTCTGGGGCAAGGTAACGCTGAAAAAAAAGATATAAAAAAAGATATAAAAAGATAAAAAGAAAAAGATAAAGAAAGAATAAGATAACGAAATAATTAAATCAATAATCGAGATTTCATTTCCGATTTTTGGAAAGATCGATCAGGATCGAAAAATCGACAGGAGTCAGCAATTTGCTTAGATTATTGTTTATTCAAGTTCTTTTGTTCATTATAAATGTTCATCTTTGTTTTTTCTATTGTAATTGATTTTCTGTTGTTATTCGATACCTACCGTAGTCCCGCATCGGGTATTCTCGGGAATGTTCAATATCCCATGCTCCCGTACTGCCGAACCGCTAAACCCAAATCAGCGATCTAAAGAAAAACAAAAGTATATTTATTTATAGATAGAATTGAATATTAGATAATTATTATTAATTATTGAATATTCAGTATAATATTCTTTTCTTCTCTTTACCACCACACAAGTCTTATCGGCTTTCACGAGAACATTCTTCTTTTAATGTCAATGCGCGATTGCTGGCTTGTCTGAAAAAGAGGTTATTGAAGTTCTTTTAGGAAGAAACTACAGTGACCCGGCTATAGTAACCATCTCTGCTTCATCCAGCTACCCAAACTATAGTAATTCTATCCAAGCATAAGCCAGTACTAGACTTGCTTAACGAGTCCGGGCAAAAATTTCAGAGAACAGGTCTGCCCTCGCTCTTCGATTTTTTAATATCCAAAGCTCCTTCGGGTATGAAACCCGGTTTCCCCCGCGAAGCCCTTATTCTAGACTTATTTTGATACTAAACATGGCTAGGTTCTGTATTGCCATTCTTTGGATTTCGATCAATCTTTCGCCGGACTCGATAAACTTAACGAGTCAAGGAAAATTTTTTATCTAAAATGATCGAAATCCTAAAGAACGGGCCGGCTAAATTTCGCCTGTTTAGCTATCAAAACAAAGCCTTAAACAAGGCGAGGGGCTGCTCATACTCGGAGAAACTTTTGAAAGTAAAAAATAAAGAGCGAGGCGACTATCTGGAAACTTTGCCCGGACCCGCAGGTCGACTCCATACTACAGTAAATGGTGTATTAATTTAGCTTACAGTAACCCTCTGCCACAGCCACAGTAATCTGGCTACAGTATTTGAAACCCACTAAATTGTCCAGGAATCTCGAGTGCAGGAATTGCATTCCGTTTGCGAACGAAGCGAAGCAATTGAACGGCCAATCGGGTATCGATCACCTAAAAGTTGATGGAAAAATGACGAATCTAAAATCTAGCGCTTACATGGATGTACTATGTTTTATTTGCTATTTTTATTTATATATCTTTATATGTACTATGTTCGAACTCACATTCTCAGCCAGGAAATCGTACAACGATCCGAACGGATGATATTCAGTGATCAAACAGAGTTCCATTTGAAGGCCCGTATCTGGAAAGGGAAATTGAAAAATTTATATGAAAACTATAACTCGAAATAACTAATTAGACTAATTAGACTGCTATAACTAATTAGAATTAATTATAATAATAATATAATAATAATATAACAATAATATAACAATAATATTATAATATAATGATAATATAATAATAATAATAATAATATAATCTTCTTTAATCAAATTATTCCTTAATCCTTTCTCTTTTCAAATCTCTAAACCTTTTTTATCGCTTGCAATATACTGCAAAATGTTCGCGTGACGTAGCCAATTGGTGTTGTAGATCTCGACTTCTCTGAACAATTTCCATACTTTTTGACAGTAATCTACAAGAATCTGAGCCTATATGCTGTTAACGAAAACTCAAAGGACACAATCCTTTACTACAGAAACCCAACTAAGCTGTAGCATTGTAGGAATTGCTGTAACACTCTTCCATGCTCACTCTATCGTGAATCAGCAGTGATTACAGCATCTACAGTAACCACTACCTTCTACAATATCTACAACTACTGCAAAACTAAAAAATCTAAACTACAGTAGGCTAAACTTAGACTACAATGATCTGAGCCTATATGCTCTTACCGAAAACTCGAAAAACCTGTCTCCAGTTCAGAATCCTAAGCTGCCTCCAGTCCAGAATCCTAACCTGCCTCCAGTCCAGAATCCTGGGCTGCCTCCAGTTCAGAATCCTGGGCTGCCTCCAGTTCAGAATCCTAAGCTGTCTCCAGTTCAGAATCCTGGGCTGCCTCCAGTTCAGAATCCTAAGCTGTCTCCAGCTCAGAATCCTAACCTGCCTCCAGTCCAGAATCCTGAGCTGCCTCCAGTTCAGAATCCTAACCTGCCTCCAGCTAAAAGCGTTTATTTTCTTTAGAAATTATAAAGATTTTATAGTTTTTATAATTATAGAGATATAAAGAATTTTTTTTCCTCTTTCTATTCATAAATAATAATTATAAAATTAAAATTAATTATAGATTTAAAGCCATTCTCGTGCTCTTCCCGTCGGAAAGTTTTACAGCAGTTTTACAGGCCAAAATGGCTTTTAAAATTCTTTAAAAAGCCTAGCAAATTTCAACGAAAAGAGGAAAGAATTTCCTAGAAAATGGTATAATTTGTAAGGAAAATGAACGTTTCTAGCCGAAGATCTAGCCGAAGATCTAGCCGAAGATCTAGCCGAAGATCTAGCCGAAGATCTAGCCGAAGATCTAGCCGAAGATCTAGCCGAAGATCTAGCCGAAGATCTAGCCGAAGATCTAGCCGAAGAAAGCTTAAGATTGGGTTTTTCGGAGTTTCCGGTAACAGCCTGGTGTTTTGATTTTGAAAATATTATAAATTTTGAATCAAAAGATTTCCTGAAAGATACAGTAACCCAGTTAGAGTCTTATCAGTCTTATCATTGGCTCACCTTGCCCACGAGCTTTCATCCCTCGAACAGAAGATTTTCACGGCTACATTCTCACCCCGCCATTGGCCAAGTTTCACCTGAAAATATTAGTAAATAACTAGATCGATTTCTATAATCAAATTCCATTTCTAATTTCATTTCATTCCATTTCTAATTTCATTTCATTTTTAATTTCATTTCTAATTTCATTTCATTTCTAAAAACCTCTCCAAATCGTCCACTTCCCACATCTTTGATGATGTTGATTTGAAGGGCGATTGTTCGTTGGATTAAAAGGGGAAGACCTAAAAGAATGAAAGAAATTGTTCTGCTTTATGCTTTGTACTGCTGCTTTGTACTTGTACTGCACTGCTTTGTACTCGTACTTGTACAAGTCTCTCTAGTAATCCTGAAACCATTTCCTTCTAGAAACACATTCAATCAATAGAAAAATGCTAGTTTGTGCTTTTGATGCACAAAAAATGAATCCATTAAATAGTGTCAAGTTACAGTACTCAAAAATCCGCTATAGTACTCAAAAATGCGGTCTACGCTAATCCGATACAAAAGGAAACAAAAGAAATGCACTCACCGGATCCACTTCCCGAATTGGTGGGATCTAAATCTTTGAGCAATGTGGACAAAGTGCCTCCATCACTCGTCAACACCGTACCAATCGAGATATCATTTTCTAAGAAAGTAACAATATTCTACGATATTTCAATTTTAGCTTTTCAATGGTTACCACCTTGTGGCGTCATCGACGTGACAACGATATTCGGATTCTCAGCGGAAACACGAGTGTACTCTAAATGTACTCTGTACTCTAAATGTACTCTGTACTCTAAATGTACTCTGTACTCTAAATGTACTCTGTACTCTGCACTCTAAATGTACTCTGTACTCTGTACTCTAAATGCACTCTGTACTCTAAATGCACTCTGTACTCTAAATTCATAAATGATGTTTAACAAATTTCCTTTTAAAGCTACAATAAGCCTAAAATGAAATTTTCCATTTTTAAAACCTTTCCCCGGTGTCGGCGTTGATTGATCTCGATCTTCGCTTATTTCTTCTTCCTCGATGAACCCTTCCATTCGAGTGTATGTTGGCATCGGGACATAGATTTGACGAAGAGCTGAATTATCGATTTTCATTCAATATAAATAGATATTCGATCGAAGATTATAGCAATTCATTGTAAAAACAAAAACAAACCAGGATTCACGAGCTCTTTGCTTTGCGATCCGATCGACGTTGACATAGTGCCCTGGAAAAGATTTGCGTTTCATTCTTTTAGGGTTTTTGTTTTGTTTTGTTTTTTGGCTAACCAAGGCTAACCTCAACCTCAATTATTCTCATTTTTCTACCTACCGTAAATACTGTAATAGTATCCCACCCTCATAATGACGGTGCGGAGTGTTGTGTAGTCTAGCTTTGAACGAGTTTTTCTCGACACTGGTTTATGCTACAATGCGCGTTTAGGTATCAAAAAATAGCTGAAATTCAGGGCTATTTTTTGATACCTAACTCGTTCACTCGTTCAAATGCTACGCGATGCTCCGGCCTACGCGATGCTCCGGCCTACGCGATGCTCCGGCCTACGCGATGCTCCGGCCTACGCGATGCTCCGGCCTACGCGATGCTCCGGCCTACGCGATGCTCCGGCCTACGCGATGCTCCGGCCTACGCGATGCTCCGGCCTACGCGATGCTCCGGCCTACGCGATGCTCCGGCCTACGCGATGCTCCGGCCTACGCGATGCTCCGGCCTACGCGATGCTCCGGCCTACGCGATGCTCCGGCCTACGCGATGCTCCGGCCTACGCGATGCTCCGGCCTACGCGATGCTCCGGCCTACGCGATGCTCCGGCCTACGCGATGCTCCGGCCTACGCGATGCTCCGGCCTACGCGATGCTCCGGCCTACGCGATGCTCCGGCCTACGCGATGCTCCGGCCTACGCGATGCTCCGGCCTACGCGATGCTCCGGCCTACGCGATGCTCCGGCCTACGCGATGCTCCGGCCTACGCGATGCTCCGGCCTACGCGATGCTCCGGCCTACGCGATGCTCCGGCCTACGCGATGCTCCGGCCTACGCGATGCTCCGGCCTACGCGATGCTCCGGCCGTCATTATAAAAGGATGACGAGAAAAATGCGTTTAAAGTTAGACTACGTGATGCTCCGTTTTTTGATATCAAAAAATAGCCCTGAATTTCAGCTATTTTTCGATACTAAAGACGCATTTTTTGAAAGTACGGGTGCTTTGCAAAAAATGAAATACTAAAAAACTTTTGCGACTACGCGACTGTACGAGGAGGGTGGGGTACTATTACAGTATTTACGGTAACAAAATTTTACCGGTGTTGTTGAGTTTCTCGTGGTTGATTGACTGTTTTCGAAGGCCATATTGCGACGACCAATCAACGGGATCTGATGCTCACGAGAAAGAGCTTGAAGCTAAAAAATGACTATAGAAATCTTTGTCGATGATTGTCGATGAAAAAAATTGGAGAAATTAGCCAACAAAACCCACGTCATTCGGCGCCGAGAGCTCATCAGCGTCTCGATGCGCCAACACGATCTCGTCCACGACTTTGTCGGGGCGTGTGATCGCTTTGCGAAAGTAGTTTCTGCAAACGCATTTTTGTTTTATTGTGACAATTTTGACAGCAATTCTCAGCATTTAATCGATGAAATACTTAAGAATAAGCCTGTACTTTTCTAAGGATTCTAAAATACTTGAGAATATAATTTTCTAATCGATAAAATACTTAAGAATATAATTTTCTAATCGATAAAATACTTAAGAATACAATTTTCTAATAAGCCTATGCTTTTCTAAGGATTTTAAAGCTAAAGAGTATGTAGTCCTCAATTTTCTAATTGTAATTGTAATTCTATAATCGCAATCCTAAAGCACACTTCAATTTAGCTCTATTAAAGCCGATCAAATTCAAGCCACAACTACAATTTAGCTTTTTTTTAATGAACAAATCAAATAAAAATTAGCCTATCAAACGCTAATCTAGTTTTAAATTCAAAAAAAGAAATCTTAAACCCATCTTTTCTTACTCTTTTCTTACTCTTTCCTTTCAAACTCACCGAAAATCAGAGCTATCCCACATTTTGTAGGCGAAAACGAGCAGGCAAATTGCCACCAAAACCCCAACACCGATCAGGATCAATTTCACGAGTAAACGCTAGAAATTTTGAATATATAATAGTATTTTGAATAGCAGATTTGAGAAGTTTTGAATTTAAGAAGAAGTCAAATTTTCAAAATCCAACCTCTTGTGGTGTGTTGTCTTGGATGAGGGGCTGAAAATTTTGAATTAGAATTAGGATTAGAATTAGAATTAGAATTAGAATTAGAATTAGAATTAGAATTAGAATTAGAATTAGGATTAGAATTAGAATTAGGATTAGAATTAGGATTAGAATTAGAATTAGAATTAGAAAAGAATTTGCTGAATTTTCCTACCGCTGTGTCGATTTGATTTGTGCAAAGCGGAGTGTAACAGCAGCTAAATTTCATTGATAAATCGTTTTCTCACAAATAAAAACAAACCGATGTTCCCCTTGAGCGTTGCTGAAGTTGCAAACGCCGGCGTAGAAAATGCGGTGACAACTGGAAAAGCTCGATTGGAATTTACAATCGACTTTACAATTGAACTCAAAGCTCGATTTATTCAAGCTTTGTCATTAGATGATGGATAGTTTTTTGAGTTCACTATTGAATCCGATCAAGGTCAAGATCGATGCTTGTCTTTTGACTGAACCAGATTCTAGATCTGGCTTCTGATCTCACATTCACTTATTGGCCTAGAAAATGATTTTGATCTACTTGTTATCTGGCTTGGAAAATGGTTTAGACCTAGGAAACCTGAAGCCGGTGTCGAACCGGCTTCAGTTGACCTTTCGTTTCAGAGAAAGCACTAACCATTACACAAAAAGGCTGTGAACGTTCCCCCGAAATGCTTATAGATTTCCTCCACGAAAAATCAATGTTTAGCCAAGCCAGGTTCAGTCTCTATTGAAGCCTAGCCTGAACTGGTTTGTCTCTAATCTGGCCTGAGCTCCTCTAATCCAGTCTAAAGCGTCACACAAACTTGGCCAGTTCAATCACAAACACTCAATTCCTTGACTCACTCATAGACGGCCGTCGATTTAGTGTTTGCGTGATGAAAGACGATGACTCTGCACGCGCTCTCACCCCTCGCCAGGCACATATTCGCGTACTCTGGGCCGACTTGATGCTCCAACTGAAAAGAATCGTTTATACGGTATTTGATTTGAATCATAATTCCACCTCAGTGCACTGATCGGAGCCTGCCGAGCAATTACAGAGACGACTCTCGTTCAGATTGATGCCCGTATCAGTCAATGTACTCTCGACTTCTGAAATTAAGAAGTAGAATAGGCTGACCTCTGAACTGAAGGGATTGGCTAGATGAGGTAAACTCAAGTTAAACTAAGTTAGACTCAAGTTAACCTAAGTTAGACTAAGTTAGACTCAAGTTAACCTAAGTTAGACTAAGTTAAACTAAGTTAGACTCAAGTTAGACTAAGTTAGACTCAAGTTAACCTAAGTTAAACTAAGTTAGACTCAAGTTAACCTAAGTTAAACTAAGTTAGACTCAAGTTAACCTAAGTTAACCTAAGTTAAACTAAGTTAGACTCAAGTTAAACTAAGTTAAACTCAAGTTGTATCTTGATCACAATGTCCTTCATTATATTTGATGAATTCACAGATAAATCCCTTCAAAACGTACCCGGATTCTCGTGCAGAAAGCGCACTAATTTCTTCGTCAAGCGCTCACCATACGATAAATCATCGAATTCCTAGCATTTTATTATTTAGTACAATAGTTTTCCCTTTAAAATTGCCCACCTCGACGCTTCCGAGCATTTCATTTCTCTCCGAATCAAGCAGCGTTGAATTCTGAGTAATTTTTGAAATCAAAAGAACATAAATTATATGTAGATTTAATTTAATATAAAAAGAATGATATCTCTTTCACCTGTTCATCCGAGTACTCACAAATACTCAAAGAAAAAGAAGTAAGAGCGAGAAAACCCGTCGACCCTTCATCTCATCACATATTTCAAAAAAACGAACGCGAGAATCTAGATAGAAAACCGATTGAAACCTCTCAAATTCTAAAATTTATCAACTATAGAAAGTATTGGAATGTTGGTGTTTATTTAAATGAAACTATTGATTCAAATGAAATAGATTGACTGAATAAAAGCTAGAGTAGGATAAAAGCTAGAGCTAGCATTGACTGTCAAGGTTTATGACAGTCAATTTGACAGTCAAGGATAATGTTTGAAAATAAAAACGTTTTAGAAAAGAATTAAGTCAAAAAGCAATGGGTAATGATTATCAAAGTTATGTTTTATTTTTATGTAGAGCTTTTTTTTTGGAAAGAAACGGGGGAAAATGCCAGCTGATTGTTTGTGAGGAGACAGAGGGGAAATGGGCATTGGAGTCTTGTGGAATAAAGGAAAGAAAAGGAAAGAGATATTCAATCAAAAGAAGATATTCAATTAAAGAAGAAAAGAAATGCGTTGAGAAAGTTATGAAGGAAATTATTGGGCAAAAAAATCAAACCAAATCAAATCAAAAAAATCAAACCTGTGTCCGCGTCAACTCTTTCCAAATGTTCGAGGAACGGGATTTGCAAAAGTCTAGCTGAAAATATTGATGCTAGATATTGAATAACGAAAGCTAATGATTGAAAAACGATCAAATCAAAATCTCAAGATTATTTTATGAAATGGGCATTGGAGTCTTATGGAATAAAGGAAAGAAAAGGAAAGAGATATTCAATCAAAAGAAGATATTCAATCAAAAGAAGATATTCAATCAAAAGAAGATATTCAATTAAAGAAGAAAAGAAATGCGTAATGAAAGTTACGAAGGAAATTATTGGGCAAAAATTTATAAAAGTTTTTGACGGGAACAAATGCTATCTTTTTTTTTTGCGCACCTTTTGGGGTAGGCTACTTTCCGCCATTTTATTTGCGCAACAGGGTCACTTGCGCAAGTACGTTTGCGCAACTTTTTATTTGCGCAACAGGGTCATTTGCGCAACTTTTTTGACGTTTTTAAGGGACGTTTTTTTAAGGGAGTTTTTGGCGTTTTTTTTTTGTTGTTTAAAATTCTAGTACGGTTTTGTTTATTCTTAAAAACCATTGTTAACTAATTTTCCGCATTTTCCCAAGAATCCGCATCCATCGTATACTGCGGTCAGACTTTACGAAGAAATGACGCAAATAATCAACCGTTTCAAGCTTTCATCGGCTATCAATCTCACTGTTGGACAAAACTACACACGGAAGAAAACTGTATTGGCTCGACAAAAGCAACGTTTTACGATTTTACGTTTTACGTTTTACGAACAGTTAACAACGATTTTGTGCACCATCTTTCTCAGCTTTTGACTTATATTAAAAAAATTTGATTTTTATTGTTGTCCTAAATTTCATTGCTATTGTTGTCCTAACTTTCATTGTTATCGGTTGCACTTTTTTGTTAAAGCGATAAAATATTTTACTAATGGTTATTAGCTCTTAGAAAGGACTAATTTAGATAAATATTGGAAGATTATGCAAAAAAATTGGAAGATTTCATAAAAATAGAAGAAAATAAAAAAAAAAAGCTCAAAAATGAAAATAATGATTAAAAATTCGAGTGCTTAATACAGTGTTAAAGTTGCGCAAATAAAGTTGCGCAAAAGACCCTTGTTGCGCAAACGTACTTGCGCAAATGACCCTGTTGCGCAAATAAAATGGCGGAAAGTAGCCTACCCCCACCTTTTATCTTCCCTTGAAAAGGCCGTAGAGCTTCAAAAATCTTTTCATATAAGGGAATCGTATACGTAGATTCCGAATTTCAACAAATTAGACCTCGCTAACATGTCAAATTTGGGCTAAAAGGCAAAAACTATGCAACTTAACGCTTTTTCGCAGTTTTTGCATTTTAGCTCAAGCTCTTTTAGCTCTTTGGCGTGTTAGCGAGGTTTGATTTGCTTTGATTTGTTGAAATTCAGAATCTACACATACAATTCTCTTATATGAAAAGATTTTTGAAGCTCTACGGCCTTTTCTAGCGAAAAATAAAAGGTACGCAAATGTCCAGGTGCGCAAAAAAAAGGTCGCATTGGTTTACAGATTTCTGCTTAAACTTATAGCATTCTTTCTATTCCATTAGATTCTTTATTCTCTAATGATATCGTTTTTAAGAGTAAAATCAAGTTTGAGTGCGCCAGAAAGATACGTTTACAATCTTTGCACAACTCAAAAGAACGATCTTCCTCTCTGTACTTTGTGCTCAAATTTTTAAACGATTCCTGAATTGATTTCTTTCGATTTTTTGCGAATTGTCTTCTTTTCTTTCCAATATATTTATTGCTACACAAATCGAAATATCCACTAATATCCAGGAGCTGTCCTTGGCGGTGGACAATGATCACAGGCTCCACTCGGACACCTCTCTCCATCAGCTCCTCGATCTCCATCCCGTCCCGGTTGCCCATTTCCTCCTTGTTTCCCAGCCTCTCCCTCTGGCCCAGCTTCTCCATCATCTCCATCTTGTCCCGGTTGTCCCGATTCCCCATCAGCTCCAGGTTCTCCCTGTGGCCCTGGGGGTCCCGGTGGTCCATTCGGTCCAGGAATCTCCGATAATTTCCCTGGTTGCCCTGGTGTTCCACGACCTAAAAAGGCATAGATGATCTCTAGATGATCTCTAGATGATCTCTTACCTCCAGGTCTTCCGTCCAATCCAGCATCTCCAGCTGGTCCGGGTGGGCCACGAGGTCCAGCGTTTCCAGGGGCTCCCGGACCTGAAAAATCATAGAAATCTCTCTTCTAGATCTTTTACCTCCAGCCCTTCCCGGCTGTCCATTGGGTCCTTTAGGTCCAGGATTTCCAGCTGATCCTTCAGGTCCCTCCGGACAATCGAAGCACCAATCATGCAATGGTGCGGGAGTGGCAGCAGGTCCATCGGGTCCATTCTGTCCCGGAGCTCCTGAAAGCATTGAATATTCTTGAGAATCCAATTCTTGTGCTTACCAGGGTTTCCATCTCCTCCAGCGTCTCCATCTGGCCCAGGTGGGCCCTAAAATGATTTGGATAGATGTAGTTGGATGGTAGAACTCTTTTAAGCAAACAATTCTTATCTCATTGTCAGCTCTTAGCTGTAAAGTTTATGGTTTTGTCTTTGAAAATTTTAACTTTAAAAATTTTAACGAATCTAATGAATCAAAATTGATTATATAAGATTTTTGAATGTTTTAATGTATCAACTTATCGCAGTAACCTAACGATGAGTCTAAAAGGGCCAAAAAGACTTCTCAAACTTCAAAATGACACTAGAAACAGTATTGAGCCTATTTACAAAGGTTGTCTTCATTTTCTAATCGAAATTCGAATAGAAACCTGTGGCCCGGGTGGTGACACGCCGCATCCACAGCATCCACCGCCCATCGGCGCTTGTCTCTCCCATCGTCCATCCCACGCCGAACTGCTCGTCCATCTTTTTATCTCTCACCATGCCCCCAGAAACTTTTGCTAGTACCTAAATCGTCCATCTTTCAGAATTTCAATATCGAATCAATCTAACTTCAAATCAATCTCAAATCAATCTCAAATCAATATCAAATCAATATCAAATCAATATCAAATAAATCTCAAATCAATATCAAACCTGTGTCCTCGTCAACTCTTTCCAAATGTTCGAGGAACGGGATTTGCAAAAGTCTAGCTGAAAATATTGATGCTAGTTATTGAATAACTATTGAATAATGAAAGCTAATGATTGAGAAACGATCAAAATCAAAGAAACTATCAAAAATCTCAAGACTATTTTATGATCTAGATCTAGATCAAACTTTCTTCTGCACTTACCTCAGCTTGCATTCTGCTTTGCGTTTGTTGTAGATAATTATAGAATAAAGGAACGATGAGGACTGAGATCAAGACGGCGCTTGTTGAGATCGAGACACCGTAGAAGGCGATTCGTCGCAATGCTTTCGCTTCTTCATTCATCACTTTTTCAGTCATCTAATATAGAGAAATTGATAGGTTAAGAATTGAACGAAATTGAAGAATTGCTTGTTGATAGCTTGATAGTTTAAGAATTGAACGAAATTGAAAAAATTGAAAAAGAAAAAAATTATTCCACAGATTAAGCAGAGAAAATTTCTTTTCCAAATAGTTGAATATCTTTTTTTGTGTAATAAAAAGGCTTTAGATTTATTGAATTTTATATTCTTTGAATTGTTCTTGAATTGCTCTTTACTTATTGGGTTGGGGAGAATGAGTCGGCGCCGAAAATGAAAAAATGTCTAAAACTTCTATTCGACTTCGTCAAATAATATGCGTTTGATATGAGTAGAATGGTTAACTAATTCTCTACAAAATCACATTTAAAAGAAAATTCAAACAGCGCCTCCGCTCAAGAAAAAGCCATTTTTTCACAAAAACTACAAACTGTGATCTAGAAAAAACCATTGCTGGGATTTTCCTGCAAATTTGGCAACTTAAGTAATTCAATGTGCTCTATCTTTTTTATATAAACACCAAAGAAGGTTTATGTGAAAGAAACTGTTCAAATGATGAGTCGGACTCTTTGCCATTTTAACCAGCTGCGTTTCGAAGTTCATAAACTTCACGAAAGAAAAGCTTTATGGAATCTCTCAAAAGTGATTTTGTAGAGAAATAGTGGATCCTTTTGATGAAACCAAACGTATGTTTAAAGAAGGCTTTATGTGTGCAAAAAGTCCCTTTAAAGTTGGGCGCCGACTCATTCTCCCCAACCCAATAAATTGAAAGTGTTGTTATTTTTGGATTGATAAAGATCTAATTCTTTTAGATTAGATTCTTTTTGTGAAAAAGGCAAATCAAAGTTTAATTTTGTGAATGAAGTGAATGAATTCTTGAAATTTCAATCTTTGATTTTGATTCAAAGAATCAAAAAAACTCAAGTAGTGCAGGGAATTTGTGGAAAAAATGTTCGAAAAAGAAGTTTAAGATGAGAATTTGGAGAGATTTTCGTTCACTTACTTCATTCGTTCATTCGTTCACCGACAATTATTCGTTCCCTACAATTCTTCGTTCCCTATATTCGTTCACCTACAATTATTCTCGAAATTTCAAGGATTTTTCAAGATATTTTTGAGAAATCTTTGAGAAATTTCTTCATTTTTGAAGTGAAAGTATTGAGTTTTCATTTTTAATTCACTTTTTATATCTTGAAATGTCAAATTGAGCTGGTATATTTTGAGGAAATAGAAACGCATTCTATTTAGCGCAAGGAATTCTTCAGTTTTTTGCAGTAGACTTGAAAAACAAAGAATTCAATGCTAGAAAGGGTTCGTTTACAGATTTGCATACAAAGTCTAGAAGAAGACAAATCTAGAATAAGACAAGTCTAGAAGACGACAAGTCTAGAAGAAGACAATTCTAGAATAAGACAAATCTAGAAGAAGACAAATCTAGAAGAAGACAATTCTAGAATAAGACAATTCTAGTTTTTAACGTCAAAACACTTTCATGAAGAATTTAATGATTCAAATCTATAAGCTAAAAAGAAATATAGATGAAAATTGAGAGAGATTTTCGTTCACCTACAATTATTCTCGAAATTTCAAGGATTTTTCAAGATTCTTAAGAAATTTCTTCATTTTTGGAGTGAAAGTATTGAGTTCTCATTTTTAGCTCACTTTTTATATCTCGAAAGAACAAATTGAGCTGGTATACTTTGAGGAAATAGAAACGCATCCAATCGCATCTAGCGCAAGGAATTCTTCAGTTTTTTTTGCAGTAAAGACTTGAAAAGCAAAGAATTCAATGCTAGAAAGGATTCGTTTACAGATTTTACAGATACAGATTACAGATACAGATACAGATTACAGATACAGATTACAGATACAGATACAGATTACAGATACAGATACAGATTACAGATATTACAGATTACAGATTTTTAGCCTAAAGTCTAAACATAATGTTTTAGAGTTATTTTAAAAGAAAATTCCAAAAATTTCTATTAGACTTTTCAGCAAATCTTTTCATTTCTTTTCCGTTCTGGAAAAGAAACGTACATAACAATCATTCAAGAATTAATCTATGATTTTCTCTAAATAAAAAGAAAATAAAGTGTTTATTGATCAATTTCCATCTTTTTTTGAAGTCAATTTCATTTGATCTTTAAGCACAAAGTGTAGAAAAAGATAGATCTTGTTTTTAATAAAATTTTTTTTTTTAGATCTTGTTTTTAACGTAAAACACTTTGATGAAGATGATTCAAATTTGAAATGATTCAAATTTCAATCATTTAAATTTTAAATCATTCAAATTTGAAATGATTCAAATTTCAAATCATTCAAATGATTCAAATGATTCAAATCATTCAAATCATTCAAATTTCAAATCATTCAAATGTTTCAAATCATTTAAATTCCAATGATTCAAATTCCAATCATTCAAATTCCAAATAATTCAAATTTCAAATCATTCAAATGATTCAAATCATTCAAATCATTCAAATTTCAATCATTCAAATCATCCAAATCATTCAAATCATTCAATTCTATAAGCTAAAAAATATAGATTAAAGAAAATTTGACAATTTGACAAACAAAAAAAAAGTACTTAATGCTTCTGAAAGTGCTTCTCGAAGCTTTTAAGGTGAGTGAGAAAGGGCGGAGTTTGAAAAAGAAAGGACAAATTTTAAATATAAGAAAGGGAAAAAATGACAAAATGACACACCCCAAAAATGGGGGAATTCCGATGGAGAAATGCCACAAAAATACTAGTTTTCTCTTGGAAAATGGGAATGGACAATTGTAGAGTCGTTTCTTGACAAATTGACAAATTGGGACAGTCGTTTACATCTCTTTCTTTCATCGGTATGGAAATTTCTCTCTCCTTTTTTTTGAATGATTTGCTGACAGTTTAGGGATGAGTTTAGATGAGTTTTCGATAATGATTTTGTAGGAATTCTAGAGGAATTCGCAAATTTCCAATGTTTTAAAGTATTTGACTATAGGCCACAAAGTCAAATAAAGATGAACAAACAAAAAAGATGAGTCAAGCATTAACAAGAGTCCCTAAATCACTGACAAGGTGCTCTTTGTGCGGCCAGGTAATCGCTCGTCGTCTGGCACACGTCCCCGATAGATAGCTGTTCCCTTTTGGAATCCGCGAGTCCCTAAATCACTGACAAAGTGTTCTTTATGTGGTGGTGTAATCGCTCGTCGTCTGGCACACGCCCCCGATAGATAGTGGTTCCCTTTTGGAATCTGTAAAGGGATAGGAAGGGTCAGCGACTGAGCCAGTATATCTTTTTTGCGCGTCACCATGTCCAAATTTTTGTCATAGATTCTTTCCCCAAATTTATCTCTATTTTATATCTAGAGCAAAGTTGTTGACCTGTTTTCCCATCAAGTTTTCCCATTCTTATTCTTCATCTAATTTATATAACCCTAATCAAAAGCCTAATTGATTTCTTTTTATTTTCTGTTTCCTGTTTTCTGTTTGATTCTAGCTAACTCTTCTTGATTCCCCATTTTCCCCTAACCAATTCCACTCTCTTCTTTTCCTTGTCTGAAGAGTGAAAACATCGTAGAGTGAATGTGATCGACATGAAAAGAAGTAAAAGAAAGAAAACCACGAACAATACCCATAAAATTACACCGTTTCCAAATCAGAATACCAACATTCATTCAACAACAGTTTACCCTTGAAATGAAAGCTTTCTCGGTTCACTTTTTATGGAAATCAGACAGTTGACTGTTTTGCTATAATCAGAAAAGATTTTAAAAATTACATATCAAAAATTTCTCTCAAATTTAGTTCTTAAAAGTCCGACGAATTTGCGGATAGTTTGTTGAGTAATCGCTCTTGTACAGTTTCCATTTAAAAGACGTTTCTGCTCTGATAATTGATAAGCTGTAGCTCTGATAATTCTTCCAGACAAGACAATTTTTTAATCACAATCAAAAAGTTGAACTTGTTATTGCAATTCAATAATTCTAATATTGTCTGTCTCCTAATTTCAAATAGATTCCTCGACTCGCCTTGACACGGCTGACCTCGAGATGGAGATGGAGACTCAACACACCCAAAAAAGTGTCAAGGATGGATGAATTAATCGAGAAAGAAATGAGTTCACTCAATCGTGTTTCAATCATTTTATGCCATTGACATTTCTTGTTTTATGCGGGAAAAAGAGAAATCATTCATCAAGGTCTTCAATTCGAGAATTGCAATGATTATTTAAGTTTTTTCGCGTTATAATAGAATTCGATATAAACTGAAAACTAGAGAAAAGATTATGGTAATCAAGAACTTTTGGTGTTAAAGGGAACATTCAGCTGTGAGCATTTAGCTGGGAGCATTTAGCTGTGAACATTCAGCTGTGAACATTCAGCTGTGAACATTTAGCTGTGAGCATTTAGCTGTGAACATTTAGCTGTGAAGAT